AGGCAGCACCCCTGCGGCGGCGGCAGCGGCAGCAAGCCGTGGACCCAAACGCCGTGCCGCCGCCGCCGCAGGCAGCACCCCTGCGACGGCGGCGGCAGCAAGCCGTGGACCGAAACGCCGTGCCGCCGAGTCCCGTGGCTGTGGCCGTGGGCTTCTGGCAGGAAACTACGGCCGCAACTCGGCAGCACGGGGGCGTCGCAGCGTGCCCCCGCCGCCGCCGCGCTGCCCCCCGGGCACGGCGGCGGCGGCAGCAAGCTTGGGCCCAAACGCCGTGCCGCCGAGTCCTGGCTGCGACCGTAGACCGTGGGCCGGAAACTGCGGCCGCAGCTCGGCGGCACGTGGTTCTGTTCGTATGTCGCACTGATCATAGGGGGCTGCAGGGAGCAAAATCCAGAGCAGCTGAGGCGGAGCGGTGCCCACAAGCAAGCGTGGCACGGGAGCAGGGAGACGCACGCCGCTCGCGGACTGGCGTGGCATGGCGAAGGGTTTGGACAGCGCATGCCGCCCCCCACGCACTCTCATAGCCGCCGAAGAGCTTCACAACGTCTGAATCCTGGCTGCCACCTGCCGGCTCGGATCCTGAGCTCAGGCTGCCCTGCCGCACCAGACCATCTTCCTCTTGTGGCCGCCGCCGCAGCTGCTCGTGCTCCTGGGCGAGGGACAGCCAGCGCGGCAGGTGGAGCAGGCGGCGGCCCCCGGCGCCGCTGTCCTGGCCGTCTGCTGCGCTGGGCGTTGCTGGCTGTGGTGTGGCAGGCTGCTGGGCGACAGACCAGGGGGGCTGGTGCATGCTGCCGGTCCAAGGTTTGGTGGGGCGGGCTCCAGCCGTTGGCCGTGCCCGCTGAGTGCATTGAGGAAAGAGGAAGCGACAAAGGGGTGGCGCAGCGGCGGCGCCAGCGAGGCGCCAGCGGCGCAGGGTTCTTTCACGCAAAAGCATCCGTCAGACTGCTCCAAGGGCTTCGCCGCAGTCGACGAAGAGGGCATGCCGCAGTCGACGAAAGGCAAGGCCAAGAAGCCACCAGGCCCCTGGGGCGACCTGCAACCGGACGTGCTTGAGAACGTTGCCAGCCTGCTGTCCCAGCGCGACAGGTGAGACGATAACAAGATGCGAGGGCCGGCCTCCGGCGCACCAAGCCGCGCAGCTGGCCCACCGCCCCACCGCCCCACCGCCACCGCCGCCGCTGCCGCAGCCCAATGCTGACTTTGCCTCTGCCGTTGCCTGCCTCCCTGCCACAGGTTCAAGCTTAATCTGGTGTGCGCCGGCTGGCGCGATGGCCTGGCCAATGCGGGGGCAGCATGGGCGGAGGTGACTGTAGACCCTCGCAGGAAAGCCTCCACAAGCAGGTGGGCTTTCGGGAGTCGCCGCTCCCACGGTGGTGTGGCCTGGCCAGCGTTTGGGTAGGCGGCAGGACGTGTGGCCTAGGCCCACTCGTCGCCTTGCGCCCTCCAAGCACAGAAACCACCACAAACGCAGTCAGCGCCACCGCCGCACCCCACCCACACACTCCCCCATGCCTTGCGCCCTCCAAGCACAGAAACCACCACACACGCAGTCAGCGCCACCGCCGCACCCCACCCACACACTCCCCCATGCCCTGTCCCCCCCCCCAAAAACACCGCCTCGCCCCTCGTCCCCCAACTCCCCGGCAGGCGCATCCGGTTCAACAAGCAGCTGCCCACCCCCGAGGCGATGGACGCCTGGTTTCAGCGGTACGGCCGCCACGTACGCCAGCTGCACCTGCGCCACCTGGACGCCGCCGCCCAGCAGGAGGGCTGCGTGGGCGTGGCAGAGGTGGCGGCGCTGCTGCGCGCCGTGGCCGGCGGTTTGCGGCAGCTCTGCTTCCACCAGTGTACCATGCAGGTGCGGCGCCCGTGCAGGCGGACGGGCTGCGGGGGCGGCGTGTGGCGCGGGCGGCCTGTCCCGGTGGCTGCCGTGGCTGGGACAAGGCGGCTAGCTGTGCATATTGGTGTCGCCATGAGTGCACCACATAGTGCAGAAGGGCCTGTACATTCCAGCCGCTGCTGGCACCACCTGTTCGTATCATCGCCGCCACCGGCTCGTGCCTGTGCCTGCGCCGCTGCCTGTGCAGGCTCTGCTGGCGCAGCACGCCGCCGACCTGCGCGGCCTGCTGCGCCTCACCAGCCTGCACTTCCAGCTGCCCCCTGGGGAGGGCCTGTCGCTGGGCACGCCAGAGGCCGCCTTCATCACCTGCCTCACCGGGCTGCAAGACCTGGGGCTGGCCACGGGTGAGGGCTCCTTTCTTTTCTCATCAGTTTGTTATGATAAAAAAGGAACTAACTGCCTGGCCGGCTGGGCCTGCGTGCCTGGGGAGAAGTGTGCGGCCGCTGCACCCTTGCATTGCGTCCCTGGACGCAAAGGGGTGTCGCTGCTGCGCTGCATGCAGCAGGTGCCTGCTGCACTGCTGACCGTTGCCTGCTGCACCGCTGAGCCCTCAGCTTCGCATTACTCGTGTGCAAAGCTGCTGCCTGGCTGCAGGCTACGGGGGCCAGGCCCACGCGCTGCCCGCCAGCCTGGCGGCGCTGCCGTCCCTGCGCTCGCTGCAGCTGGCACGGCTGGCGCCCCCTGGAGAGCCCGCGGGCGTGTGGGCGACCCCAGGCTCGCTGTGAGTGTCTGCGGCCTCACCCCGCCGCGCACCTCCTGCACACCCGCCCGCCGTCGTGTCATCCTTTCCGCCTCTTTCTTGCCGCCACGAGGCTGCCCTCAGCCGCTCGCCATGGCGTGCAGTCCAAATCCTGCATCCCCTGGCCCCTCGCTCTGCCCTGATTGCTCATCCACCCATGAAGCCATCCCCTGCGCACCGTCCCTGCCCCTCCCCCGGCCGCAGCTTCTGCATGCGGGTGGCCTCCTGCCTGGCCTCCCTCACCGCCCTTGAGTCGCTGGCGATCCGAGACTTCTTCCTGCAGGGAGAGGAGCGGCAGGAGGCGCCAGCCAGCGTCGGGGAATATGTGAGCGTGCCTGGCGCGCGCCGCCTGGGCCGGGCCCCGCCCTGCCGCCCGCGGCTCTGAAGCCGTGGCCACACCTTGTGACGTCGGCGCCCAGTGGGCCCGCCTGCGCCCTGCTCACCCCCTGGCCGTCCTCCAGCCCATCCTCCTCCACCCTCTCACCTGCGCTGCAGTGGCTGCCGCGGGCGCTGCTGGAGCTGCCCCGCCTCTCCAGCCTTCACCTGTCTGATGTGGGGCTCGGCCGGGCGCCGCCGCCCCCGCGCATGCACCCCACCCTGGCCACCGGTATCTACCCGCTGCCGCCAGGGCTGGCAGCGCTGGCTGGGCGGCTGCGGGAGGTGGTGCTGCTGGAGCACACCTGCGCCCCTGATGAGCTGGCAGTACTGTCGACGGTGAGCGGTACGGGCCGGCAGTGAGCGGGTGGTGGTGCGTGCGGCGGGATGAGTCCACAGCTGCCTCAACAACTGGACCAAGGCATCAGTCGCAGAGCCTTCGCCGTTGGTTGTATGCAACCAACGGGTATGCAACCAACGGGGTCCCGGAGGGCCCTTGCTTGCGCGTGCGCAGCCGCGCACATGCCCACCCCTTGCCCCGCCCCTGCTTGCCCGCCCCGCCCCGCAGCTCACGGGCCTCACCGGACTGTGCCTGTCTTCCAAGCACCGCCGGGTGGTGGCCAGCACGGTCCCCGACTCGCTCTCTCACCTCACCGGCCTCGCCCACCTGCGCATCTCACACGGCCTCACCCAGGTGGGTCCCCTCTGCGGCAGGTCGGCCCCGGGCCAGCCGCAAGGTGCCGGTGTCTTCAGCTGGGCCCGCCACAGATGGCCTTGCACCTGGCCTTGCAGCTGCCGCCGCTTCTCCGTGCGCTCCCACCCCTTTCGTCCCCCTCCTGGCAACCGCACCTGGTGCATGCGCCCTCCCTCGGCACCAGCCGATTTGCAGCCCCTGTCCCTCCTCCCCGCCCATTCGTGCCGCCCCTGTTCCTGCGTGTTGTCGCCGCAGGTGCCGCCCTGCATCACGGGCCTGACCTGCCTCACCTACCTGGACCTCAGCTGGAACAAGCTGCGCTCGCTCAAGCCTGGGCCCTACCTGAAACGCCTGGTGGTGCGCGGCGACCTTGCAAGCCGGGCTGCCTCGCCTGGCTGGCATGCGCCCTAGCCCCCTCGGGTCGCTGGCAACAGCACACCTGTAGAGCGGCGGCTGCCCGGGGGCTCGCTTCACAGAGCTGGAATGTTTTCTAGTACTGCGTTGTACCGTGCATTGTGCTGCCCTGTACTGCAGGCCGTCAACCTGCGGGCCAACGCCTTCACCCACTTCCCCCAGCAGCTCAGGGTGGCGCGCCACACAGCGCAGGAGCTGCAGCTGGTGCGCCGCGCTGCACCCAACTGCTGGCCTGGGCTCCTGCCGGCGCCACACACCCAGGCTTGCTTGGCTGAGCAGCTTCTCCATGCCTCGGAAGTTGGGACGTGCGCCCCACTTTAATTCGCTGCCTACGTATTGCACACCCGTCCTGCGTGCAGCCCCAGAATGATTCCATGGAAATATCGGAGAGGGATGTGGAGCAGCTGCTGGTGAGAGCCTCTGGCTGGGGGGTGGGCACCGCAGAAAGCAGATGTGCACTGTCCACAGCGGCAGTCCAGCAGCTACTGGGGCGCAAAGAGGCAGCGTGCGTGCCCCCCATGCACAGCCCTGCCATGCTCTCCCGGGGGGCCTGCCCTCCTCCTCCCACCTGCGTCCTCCCTGTGGTTTGATCTGACGCAGACGTTTGAGCAGCTGCGGGTGCTGGTGCTGTTTGGGGCCTGCGAGGAGAAGGGCACGCGGCGCAACCTGGCGGCGCTGCAGAAGGCGATGCCCTGGCTGCTGATTGACGTGTGATGCAGTGCACCTGCCCCATGCCACACTGCTGCACGATATGTAACACACATGAGAGGCACGCCCACCACATGCTGCTGTACATTACGCTCCTCGCTGACCGGATGTCCATATTGCAGCAGGCCTTGCTGCCACAATCTTGCCCTTCACCCGTCACCTGCCTCTTGATTCATTGCACCCTTGCTCTGCAGCGCTTGCCCCTACACACACAAGTCAAGCCAGCCTCTCTGCTTCCTCACAGCTCCATGCACAACACGCCAGCTGCATGATGCCTGTACAGCAGGATTGGCAAGCCATCTAATGCGAAATCGCAGCAAAGCGGGATCTGTGAAGATGGTGCATCTGTCAAGATTGGAACAAAGGTGGGACCCGTGGCAGCCCGCTGTCAACTCAAACAGGTGCCGCCGGCAGCGCCACGCCAGCGATTTGCAGGGCGGCGCGCGCGAGGGCTGCCGCTGCGCTGTATTGGTTTTGCCGCAGGAAGCGGCGCAGGCCTTGCTCCTGCGCATGATCGCAGAATGGGAGGTATCTCAGGGGCCAGCAGGGCTGAAAATGGCGCACTGGGTAGATGCTGCATCATTTTTGTTGGGAAGCGCGCATTTCACCTGATCGGTCTGCAAGGGCAGCAGCACAATGAAGGCTCCTGCCAGCTCTGGGGTCAGACCGCCGGCAGCAGCCGCTGGCTGCTCGGTGGCATCCAGGAGCAGATCAAGCAGAGCCTGCTGTGGCTGGTGCGGGGGCGGGGGCTGCTGCGCCGCCGGCTGTGGTGGCTGCTGCTGTGGCTGCTGTGGCTGCTGTGGCTGCTGTGGGGCCATCTCCCGTCGCGGCGGCGGCTGCTTGCGGCGCTGTTGCTGTCGGGCTGAAGCTGGGGGCCCAGCCGGGTTGGCAAGAGAGGCAGGTGACGGGCCTGCTGGATTGTGCTGCCTGCTACTACGTTGCCGCTTGGCGGGCGGCTGCTCGGAGCCATCGTCCTGCTGCTGCCCTCCAGATTGCTCCTCAGGCTCATCGCCCCCCTATTGATAGCAGGGCCGCCTCGCTGCAGCGTGCTGCCCAGCAGCAGCAGCTGGGCCTGCTACAGGGTTGGTGGCGCCCGGCTCTGCGGCAGCGCCCACCGCTGCATGCTGCCTCTGCCGAGAGTGAGGCGAGGGCCTGCTGGCGGCGAGCCCCTGCTCCTCCTCCTCTGCCACCTCCTCGCCGTCGCTGCTGCTGCCAGAGGGACCGCCGCCTGCTGGTGGCTGCCGCCGCTGGCGCTTGACTTGTTTGAGGGCCTTGTAGTAGCAGGAACGGCACAGCCACTCCTCGCCGGTGGCCGGGTGCCGCCGCCAGTTGGGGTGGGCTTCAGAAACGGGGCCGGGGCTGCGCGACCCACAGTGCAGGCACTGCCGCTGCGCTACCGGCTGCGCGTGCCGCTGCTGCTCCCCGCGCTGCAGCACGTGCCTGCTTGGCAGGCCCCCAGTTCTGCGTTCGTAATGCCCGCATGCAAAGCACAGCAGCGCATGGGTGGTGGAATGCCTGCGCCATTGGCCGCCAGTGGTAGTGGTGCTGCCACAGTGTGAGCATTGTTTTCTGAGCTTTTCCTTCGCTTGCCCCCCCTCGGAATGCTCCTCCTCCTGCTGGCTGCTCGCGCCTGCCTCCCCATCATGATACTCAGGCTTCTGCTGCACAGGCTGCCCCTGCCTGCTGCTTTGTGCTGCCGTATTACAGTCACCAGCAGCGGGGGCTGCAGCAGAAGGGCTGGCAGGCAGCTGCTGGCTGGGCTGCACTGCCGCAACAGTGGCAGTGGCTTGAGCACCACCAGGCCGCAGGCGCGGGCCTCTGCTGCTGCGCGGCACGGGCAGGGAACGCTGCTGCAAATGCTGTGGGTCGAGGCCAGCTGCAGCCTCTGGACCTGGGCTTGTCGGGCCGGCTGCCACTGGCGCAGCTCCCACCTCGCCCGCTGCGGCCGCCACGTCCCTCCGAGCGCCGCCAGCTCGGCCCTCCTCCATGTGCCTCTCCCCCTGCAGCCACCACGAGCTCTCCTCTGGCAAGCAGGAGGCTCTAGCTACACGGGAGAAGTCCACAGGGAGAAGACTTCTCCACCAGGGCCCAACCCTGCGAACCTACTGCCTGGGTAACCTCCCTCGCCGGCCCCTGCCTGCTGCTCTGGGCTCCTAGGTTGCGCCAGCCACCCAGCGGCCGCCATGGCAGAGCCAAGACCCCACCTCTTCGTGCCTGCCTTGGCCACAAAACAACCTGAGCGACTGAAACCAGCGGGCTGCCCAACCAGCACAGAGAGCCACTCGCCGCGGCCATGCTGGCGGGCGGTACAGGTTTACATGGACCAAGTCCTGCGTCGGCTCCGGCTGCCGGGTGTTCACATTGGTTGCACATGCCACAGCCCCTCCCACTAGACTACGTGCAGATAACTTGCTCGGCAGTACGCTGGCAGGAGACTTGGTGGCCTGCGCCGTGCCACAGCTTTCAGGCGGCGCCCGGCAGCGGCGCGCCCTTGAGGGCGAGGGCGGTACGCATGAGGGCAGCCGCCGCGCTGTACTGCCAGCTGTGCAGATAGTGGCACAGGGCGCGCTCCTGCATGGCAGGCAGCCAGACGTAGGGGCACGCAACTGGAGTGAGATTGGTGGAGGGCAGTGAGGGGACTCATGATGGTCAGGCGTGCATGTGAGCGACCTGTGCCTTCGACCTGCGCCCTTGCCTGGTCAGCCTGCACCGGCAGCAGCGCGATGAAGGATGCTGCCAGCTCCTCGCTGAGGCCGGCAGCGGCTGCCGCCGGCTGCTCCACCCCCAGCAGAAGGTCAACCAGCTGTTGCTCCTGGGGCTGCTGCTGGGCGGGCGGCTGAGGCACACGCGGCTGCAGGGCATGCTGCCGCTGCTGGCCCGCGGCAGACGCTTCTGCTGGGGAGCTGCGAGTGGCGGCTGGAGCGGCGACAGCAGCAATAGGAGGCGGCACAGCTGCCTCCTGCTGCTGCTGCCGCCGCAGCCTCTTGGCCGGCGGCTGATGCGAGCCACCCTCCTGCTGCTCTTCACGCACTGCTCCCTGACGGCGGCAGCCACGGCGCCTGCAAGCGCTGCCTGCACCCGCTGCACGCCATGCTGGCCAAAGAAGCGCTTTCTTGAAGCGAAAGGTGCTGCTGCGCTTCTTGTGGCCGGTCAGGTCGTCTCCTAGCACTCGGCCCTGGCCCAACGCCAGGTCGTACCAGCGCAGCATGCGCCAGTGCCTGACGCACCCGATCGCGACAAACAGCGGGTAGCGGCCGCCCGCGACGGCGGCCTCCAGCGCTGCAGGCAGGCAGACAGGCAGGCGGCGGGCGTGTTGGAGGCGGGGAGCGTGCCCGCAGTCGAGGCGGGCTGCTGTGCATGTGGCCACAGGCAGCTGACCGCACACCAGCAGGCGCCGCATGCATGACTTACCTTTGTCCACCAACTCCCGGCCAGGGACCCGGCATTCGGGCTGGAACGGCGCGTCGGCGGGCTTGCGTCCAGCCTCGATGTCGGCCTTGTGCCGGCCCCAGGCCCCATGGATCAGCTTGCTGTGCAGGAACTTGCACAGCAGCTCGTGCACCGGAGCATCGTCGGCGGCCCGCACGCCACACGGCGAGGCCTGCACAAGGGCCACCTCGCCCGTGCGCAGCAGGTGCAGCAGCAGCGCCTCGCGGCTGTGCCTGCCGGCCGCTGCTGCAGGGAACAGATCGCCCAGCCCCGTCAGGATCCACCTCCGCTCGCTGGCAGGCAGGTGCGCCTCGTCGTCGGGGCGGAACCCGTACTGCACATCCTTGTGCTGCTGCACGTCGCCGCCGAGGTTCTTGCTGATCCCACACAAGAACACCACCAGGGGCACCTACAGAGCAAGGGGTACCGCACCAAAACTTGGCCAGATCACATTCGCCGGCAAGTGACTACCCAGGCAGTGGCTCACCCGGTCGGGCTGATACAGTACAGGTGCGGAGTAGACACAGTTGGCAGAGAAGACGGAGTTGTCTTCGATTCTTGCCTTCTGGGCCCGCTTCTTCGCCGCCTGGTCATCGCATGCATGACAGGCGTGACATGCATGTTATCAATGGATTCCAGCCAGGCCTAGGCGCGCCGGCGACGCGCACGAGATCTTGGCATTCTTTTCCTTTCCTCCCTTGTACTGCCGTACCTGCTTTGATAACGACTCCCTCATTGCGACTGATCGATCTGCGCCATCCGCTTCTCCGCTGCATCTCCCCAATTGAGGCATCCCGCTCCGCCCAGGAGAACCATCCCGGCGCAGCTCTTGTCCAACATGGTTCAGTCCCTCTCTCCCCGCAAACGGCTGCACAGGAGCCCCAGCAGCGATGCCCTGGGTGCTGCCGAGGGATCGCAGCTGCCAGCCAAGCGTCAGGAGGCCTGGCCAGCTCGGTTGGAGCAGCAGAATGCCGCTGCACATAGTGTTGCTGCCCCGCTACTTCCACCCGCGCCAGGCGAATCCCAGTGAGTTGCGCTGCGTTTTCCGGTCCGGTTTTGGCATCGCCGACTCGCTGGCTGGCTGCGGCGACCTGCGTATCCGCGATCCTGCAGAAGGTTCTACCTTCTGGATCGATTTGCAGCCTCTGCTGCTGCCTTTTTCTTCACTTCTCCGTTCCTGGCATCTCTTGGCAGCCTCGCTGATGCATTTTCAGCGGCGGCGGCGTGCTGCTGAGAAGTTCATCCCGCCTGCGCCCCCGCCACCTGGCGGCCGGCGTTGAGGGACCCCTCTCCCCGCTGCTGCTCGCTGCAACAGCCACCCTGGAAGGCCTTGCTGCCGCCGGCTCAGTTGGCCAGTGTCCCCGCCTCCAATTTGCTCTGTCCAGGGCCGCCTACCTTGCGCGCCTCGCCGCCCGCCTGCGCCGAGACCTCTTCACCCCAGCAGCCGGCTTTGACCGAGGGGACGGATTGTACCTGTACAAGCGACCCGTGCAGAGCGGTGAGTCGCAGCTGCTGCCCTGCACAGCACGGGCAAATTCTGCCACCCCAAAGCGCCCTGCTCTCGTGCTGCTCATCCCATGCCACCCACTCCCCGCCTGCTGCAGCTTCGAGCGACAAGGCGGCTCTGCTGGCCTCGGCAGGCACCGTGTTCCACCACGTCGTCATTTACGTGAAGCAGGGGCAGGAGGTGGGCGGGCACGCGCCTGCACCTGCACGCCTCGCGCACGCCGCTCCACTCTCGCGTTGCTCAGCTGCGCTGCTTGCTTCCGAGAGCTCCCGCATCCCGGGACATGCATGCCCCACACGCCGCCGCCACCTCGCCACACGAGCACGCCCCCTGCGCCTGCCCCGCAGCTGACGGCACTGGAGATGGGCCCAGCCAACGAAATGGACATTACTGACAACCTGCTGGCAGAGGCGCTGCCGGGGCCGCTGCTGCTGCGCCCCGCGCCGCAGCCCGACCCGCGCCACCTGCCCATGCTGCACGTCGCCGCGCCGCACCACGCGCTGGATGCGAGGCACGTGCGCCAGGTGCGCCACCGCTGCGGCTCCAGGCCCCTGATGCTTGTGCGGGCCAGCGCGATCGCGCCCAGCACGGCCGCCGACCCTGCCGCCGCATCTGCTGCCCGCATCCCTGTTGCTACTGCTCGGCTGGGCTGCTGGAGGCCTCCCCCCATGCCCTCACGCTCGTCCCACCTCCGCACCCAGCACCTCCCCTTGCCCCCCCTCTCTGCCGGCTGTGCCCTGCAGGCACTCCAGTTTGCGGGTGGCACCATGTACCACGCGCTGCGCAACAACTGCATCTGCTTTGCCGACTTTGTGGTGCGGGTGCTGACCGGCGGCGCCGTGCGGGGCGCGCCCCTCATCTTTGACGCGCTGGTGGGGCAGGTGGGCGCACGGCAGGGCAGGGCAGTGTGCGCAGCACGGCAGCGCATGCACAGTGCAGCGCTGCACAGTGCAGCGCAGCACGGCCGCGCATGCATAGCGCAGCGCAGTGGGGCTGTGCCTGGCAGCGGCGCACCCTGTCGCGGCATGCCCTCCTGCTCCAGTGCCAGCCTGGGGTGCCCGCCTGCCCTGCTGCCCCGCCTTCCAGCCCCGGATCGATACTCCCAAGCGTACCATTCCCCTTGCCTGCAAAACGCCTCGCCTCGCTGCCCACGCTGCCCATTCGCCCTGCAGGTGCCGGTGGCCGACTCGCCGCTGCTGGCCCTGCTGGAGCTGACTATGCAGATGAGCTGGCACGACGTGTGCGACGGCAGCCGCCTGCTGCACGCCTTCCTGCGGCAGCACCCGGCAGGCCTTCCACCGCCGCCAGCTGGAAGCGAGGCCCTCAGCATCCTTGTCGAGCCTGCGGTGCCTGCCGAGGCAGGCAGCGAGACGGCGACAGAGACGGTGGCAGCCTCCGCGGCGCCTGCGCTCCCCACTCTCAGTGCGCTGCTGGGCCTGCTGGCCCCCGGCGCGCTGCAGGCGGCGGGCCCTGGGCTGTCGCCCTTGCTTGCGCCTGCCTCCGCCCCTGTGCCAGCTGTGCGGCCTGCAGACAGCAGCAGCGACAGTGACGTCACTGTGGGCGGCGTGGAACGGAGGGAGGAGACGGAGACCGATCTGGCGGTACCCTCCCCTCCCTCGCCCTCGCTGGGTGCCAGCCTGGCAGCCGTCTCCTCCAGCGCCAGCACCGGCAGCAACGGCAGGGCGCGGGCTGGCGTGCGCGGGCTGGGGCTGCCGCCGCGCAAGCTCAAGGCTGCCGCCGGCAGCGCGGCGGGCCGCGGGTAGCCAGGCCAGGCCGGCTCCCAGTGCCGCACCAGTTGAAGCCGGTTCTCGCTGGCCGGTGCACTTTCTGTTGGAGGCGATCGACATGAGCCAACCCCTCGACACCGCACCCTAGAAACTGCAGGCCCTTGCTTTACCTGCCCTGCGGCTGATTAGATCGGGTCCTGCCATGTCGCTTCCCCGCCCCAACCCCTTGCTCTCCTATGCTACGCAGCAACTCACACCGATATTGGCAGCCTTGCCAGCACATGCATGCATCCTTTGCATTGCTGACCCCACATTTTCCTGCCACCAATTCTGCCCCAGTGTGCAATGCATCCCCAGTGTGTCGAATGCATCATCATTGACCTTTCATCCCTCTGCTTTGATTTCTCGAGTCATTGTGTGAATGCTGTGTCCTCTGCATTGCGCCACCATCCGTTTTACCACATGATGCTGTGTCCTCATCCAATGTGTTGTAGCAGCCCCCTGAGACCCCGCCCTGTTTGTGGGTAGATGCCCATTTGTTCCCCTTCCCGCCAAGCACTCCATGTTTATTGGAGCTCCTTTAGATGAGCGTATTCAAATGCCATTGCAGTGCCCACAACAAGAATTAAAAGCCACGAGTGAGGAAGGAGAGCAAAGAAAGGGCAGCACAGCAGTCGGGTTCAGGGCACAGTACAATCAGGAAAGACAGTTACAGGAGTGCCTCATTGAGGGCTGGCTGACACGGCCACTGCAGCCGCCTGCAGGCCCGGCAGGCCCGGCAGGTCTGGTAGGGCGGCCTCGTGCCTCTCCAGCAGGAGTGCCAGCTGCCACAGCACGCTCAGCACCAGCCACCAGGCCACCGCGCTCAGCATGCGCGGGCAGCGAGCGCAGCCGCTGAGCAGGTCGCAGAAGTGTTGGGCGCCGGCCTCCACCGCTGCCGCCGCAGCCTGCACCCAGCCCAGGCAGCGTTGCCCGCCAGCGCTAAGCCACGCCTTGCGCCTGCATAGCACCCCCTGCCCGCTGCCTTGGCTCCCCAGGCTGCCGGAGCTCGTGGCGCTGCCAACGCTGACACCGCCGGTGATGCCGCCGCCGTCGGCAGGCCCCGGCTGCTCGCGAGGCGGGGGCCGCAAACGGTGGCCTCGGCGGCGGTGGCGGGAGCTCGCAGCGCTTGTGCATGGCCCCTGCAGCTTGGCCGTGACGATCACCGAGACCAGCCCCAGGAAAAGCTGGAAGAAGGTTGTGAAGGCCTGGCAGTCGGTTGCCACCTCTGAGCCCGCCTCTACTCCGGGCATGCCGCGCTCAGGCGGCCCCATCAACAGCTGCGCACAGGAAGGAGGGCACAGCCGGTTTGTGTTGAGGCAAGAGAACGGCGGTGTACGGGGACTGCGTGCCTTGCAGGGGCAGCAGGCGAGGAGGCCCGCCGTCGAGCAGCAGCAGGAGGCGTGCAGGCGCAGATGACGGACGCGTACGCGGGCGGGCTGGCGGCGGCTGGTGCCGCCAGCAGGGGCTCACCCAGTCTGCCGCCGCGTGCGTCCAGGAGATGCGCTGCTGCCAGATGGAGTTGCTCAGCATGGGGCGAGAGCACACGTGGATGGTGTTTCTCACTCGCTGCAGGTGACACATCGTACCGTCGCAGGTGTGGTGTGTGTTAGGAGGGGGTCGTGACGGGTGTGTGCGGCGGTGGTCGGGACATGCCAGCACGCAGGCGAGAGGGCTGGAGGCAGGGCACCGTGCGGAGCCACCCAGCCACCCAACACTCACTTGCAGCGCAAACGGCAGCAGCAGCAGGTGGGGCAGCATGGGCAGGGGCGCGACCAGCGGCGCCGCCAGCAGCCCCATGCCTCGCACGCCTGCACAGCAGGCCAGGGCAGGGCACAGCGGTACACGGTCATCTCTGCTCCGTGAGTGCTCTGGTGCAGCAGCAGGTGGAGAGGGGTTTGGGAACCCACCCAGCGTCAGCAGCCACACGTCCCTCACAAGCCCCACCCATACAGGCTTCTCGGAGGCGCCGGCCTGCAGGGGAGGGAGGGGTGGGGCCGCGCCAGGTTGCTTCCACCTTACTGCCAGCGGCTGCTGCAGCGGGTTGCAAGGCAGCCGTGCAGAGATGCGGTGCGGAGCCCGGTGTGGGACAGGCAGAAAGCCCACCTACCTGGGCAATGGAGGGATAGGCATCGTAGTCGCGCAGGTGGGGCCTGCCGAAGAACACCAGGCGGGTCATGAAGACGAGCGCCACCTGGTACCGCGCAAAGAACTGGGGCAGCGCCAGCGGCACGACCACCAGCGGGACGAGCAATACCAGCAGCTGCGACACGGCGTGCGCGGCCTCCAGAAGCGGCGCCCGCCCAATGTCCAGCTTCAGTATCAGCCCCACCAGGTACATGGTGGCCGCGATGCAGCCAGCCACGGTCTGCAGGCGGGCCTGCGCCGCGCTCAGCTGGGCGGCGTCGAGCCCGGGGCGCCGCCCGCGGCCGCCGCCGCCGCCGTCAGGCCAGCGCCATCTCCGCCCGCGTTCAGCTCTGCAGAGGCTGGCGCTGCGGATGGACACGCAGCAGAGGGCGGCAGTGGCCTGCAGGAGGCCGTGCATTTTTATTGGGAGGCGATGCTGGACACCCTCGGGGGCCGGCAGGCGCCGGGCACTTGTTGAATCCCACTGGTGGGCGAGGGGAGGGCAAGGCGGACGCTTGTAAACTCGGCAGGACAATTAGGAGGGGACGCTCGGCAGGCATTTACAGCTTAGGGTCCAGAAAGCGGACGGAAAGACCTCAATCTCATTCCCAGGCGCACCGCAGGTGCATAGAAGTCATGGTAGAGCGCTATACGGGAGGCCCGATGGGGCCGTGGTGCCGCCGCCCCCTACCCGCGAAATGCAATAATGTGCGGCGGTGGATTTGCGTTCATGTGTTTCAGATGTGTTGAATTCAGGGCATGGCTGCTGCCAGAGACGCCAGAAACAGCAGCAGGAATGGTAGCGGGGAGAGAAAGCAACATGCAAAGGGCATGGGGCGGAGCGGCAGCTGGAAGCGTCGACGCAATGAGCGGAGCAGCAAAAAAAGCAAATGGAGACAGCGGGGCGAGAAACACAAGAAAACTTGACACAGCATGATACAGTTGTGCAGGCCTCACTACAGCTCAACCACCTGCCCCGCCAGGCTGCACAGGGGGCAGGGCAGGCTGCCGCTGGCGCCGCACGCCTTGCAGCCCGTGCCCTGCGGCGCCACGCCCGGCCGAGGCGCCGCCACCCCCTCGTCGGCGGCTGCCGCGGCCTGCTGGCGCTGCTGCTGCAGGGCCTGCATCTCCGTCTTTTGCAGCCAGCCGCTGGCCCAGCGGTCCCGCTCCCGCAGGTTCTGCAGGTTGACCCAGAACTGCGCAGATTCGTCGCATGTGGCAGACATGAGCACAAAGGTGCCCTTCCCCTGCCCCCGCTTCTGCAGCACACGGAAGTGCCGCCAGCCAAAGGTGCGCTCCATGGCCGTCCACTTGCTGCCTGCGGGCGGTGGAAGGAGGGGTGGGGGTGGCAGGGGCAGAATCATTGGCAGGCGCGAGGTTGCCTGGCCATGTCAGATCACGCATAAAATCCTCCCTACCTATCACTTTGGCCGCATTGACTGGGTTCTTTTTCTGGTAGCCTCCGCGCGCCAGGCGGCCCGTCCCGCCGCACGTGCCGCAGGCGACGGAGCCGGCGCCGCCGCAGCGCCGGCACTCGGCGGCGCGCTTGTAGGGGCTGACCAGCGGGGCGCGCACAAAGCTGCTGCCGCGGTAGCGCGGGGCGGCATCGCTGCTGCTGCTGCTGCTGCTGCTGCTGCTGCTGCTGCTGCTGCAAGGGGGTGGGAGCAGCGTGCGTTTCGAGGCGGCAGCTGAAATGCAACAGGTGGCCACAACCACCGCATCCTCCCCACCGCCCTTCACATGCCAAGCACTGCATTCCCAGGATTCCATCAACGCACTGCAGCGAGTGGCTGGCGGGCAAGCGGCTCAACAGAAACGCAAGACAGCGCAGCATCGGGCCCACCTCTCCTCTCCTCCCTGGCTCCTGACTCGCAATTGGCGAGCCGAGAGACCCCCTGAAAATGCACACAGCTGCCTGTGGCTGCCGAGCAAGGCGGGGGTGGTGGGGCGCCAGCTTTTGCCCAGCGCCGTGAGGCCCTGGCCCTGCTGCAGCATGGGTGGGCTGCAGCAGGCCTTCCCTGGCCCCCGTTTAAGTGCGGGGTGGCGGGAAAGGCGGCATTGGGGCAAACGCTCAGGGCGCCATGTCCCAGGCGTAGTGATGGGCCTGAGATGAGGGCCTGCAGAACGCAAAACCGGGGAGCCCGGCGCCCCACCCCAAACAACCCGCGCTATCAGGAGACAGTTTGGAGCCCTTTGCAGCGTGGCCCAGGCCCTCCCGCCACGCTCAGGCAATCAGTCCTGCCTGCTTGACTCCAGGCGCGGCAGGCAGGCCCCCCGGCGCCCCCGGCGCCCGTCTGATGGCCCTAGCAGATCATAGCTTGCAGCAACAGCAGAGCAGGCAGCCCGCGGCCGCGCCCGCAGCCCACCCTGGGTGCTGACAGCGCAGGTGCGGGGCACCAGGGCCCGGCACGCGGCCTATGGCGCGCGGCACGGCTGGGGAAGGGCGGGGAGGGGCCGCCGCCGCACGAGCACCCGTGCCAGCCAGGCGCGCGCCGCCTCCGCCGCGCCCCACCGCACCACCCGTCTCTCTGCCCCTGCCTGCAGGCCAGCCGCTCTCATGAAGCCGCAGGGTGGCATCACCACCACGCGGCCATCTACGCGGGCTGCACAAAAGCAGCAGCAGCAGCAGCAGGCGCCGGTCAAGGCAGAGCCGGCGAGTGCGGCGGCGCCGGCGCCCGCGCCGCCGCCTGTCGCCCCGCCGCCAGCAGCAGCGGCAGCGCCGCGGCCTCCCCCGCCTGCCGCAGCGCCGCCGCCAGCAGCGGGGCCGCCGGGGGCCCCGGCGGCGCAGCCGACGCAGCAGGTGCAGCAGCCGCCGCCGCCGCCGCGGCCGCTGCAGGTGCAGCTACCCCCCGGCGCCGCACACCCCCGGCCCGCGCCGCCCGCCGCGCCGCAGCAGCCTGGCAAGGTCACAGGGCTGCTCCCCGGCAGCGCGGCGGCAGTGGGCGCGCCCAAGGCGGCGCCTCCCAACGGCGCCGCCAACGGCACCCACGGCGCCGCCCCCGCAGCAGCAGCAGGCGTGGCGCCGGCGGGCGTGCGGCCCATGCCCGGCGCCAGGCCGGGCATGCCGCCAGGCATGCGGCCTGCGCTGCCGGTGATCTTCCCGCAGCCCGGCAGCGCAGCCATGTTCATGCGACCGGGGGCAATGATGCAAGTGCGCACTGGCATGCGGCCGCCCATGCTGATGCCGCTGCCGGGGGCGGCCGCGGGCGGCACGGGCGGGCCCATGCCGCCCCACGCGGCAGCCAGCCTGCCCGCCGGCGCCATGCCGCGCCCGCCGCCGCCGATCCCGATGCCGATGCCGGCGGCGGCGCCGCCCCCGGCCGCGGGCGTGCCCGCGCCCGCGGGCATGCCGGTCCCCACCCAGCCAGGCACGGCACCGGCAGCGGCGGCAGCGGCGGGACCCGCGGCCAACGCAGCACCGCCGGCGGCGGCGGCGACGCCGCCGCCGGCCGGCGCGGCGGCGCAGCCGCCAGCGGCAGCCGGCGGCGGCGGCGTGGATGCCGAGGGCAGGGCGCGTGCGGCCGCTGCCGGCGGCGTCAGCCAGGACGACATCCAAATGGTGCAGAACCTGATTGAGCGCTGCCTGCAGCTCTACATGACTCAGGTGAGGGGTGGGCTGGGTGGGTGGGTGGCGTGTGTGGGCGGCGTGGGTGGCGGCAGGTGCCGGCTGCTGCAGGCCGGCGGCAGGCAGCAGGGTCAGCCTGCGCCGGCGCGAGCAGGGGCAGCGGCCTCGGCGCCGCGTGTGCCGTCGTAGCCGAGAGCCGGCGGCGGCCCGCAGGAACCGGCCAGCCGCCGCCTGTGTGCGGCCTCCTGTGTCAGGCCGCCTGCCTCCGGCCTGACAACTCCCGCCTGCCTCCTCTGGACCTCTGCCCTTTGGGCCCCTGCTGCCCCGCAGAATGAGGTGGTGTCTATTCTGCAGCAGCAGGCCAAGATCGAGCCGGGCTTCACCCAGCTGGTGTGGGCCAAGCTGGAGGAGCAAAACCCCGAGTTCTTCAGGTGCTGAGGTGGTGGTCTGCTGCTGAGGTGCTGGTGCTGCTGGCGGCGGCGGTACAGGCCTGTACTGCCGCGGTCGCCGCCGCAGCAGCAGCAGCTTGCCCGCTGCTGCCGCTGCCGCTGCCGCTGCTGGTGCCGCCGCTTCCCGGAAGGCCGGGCCTCTGCGCCCCTTGCGTCGGCTGCCTTTCTGCTTCCTTTTCTCACTCTCCTGCTCGCGCTTTCCTCCTCCCCTCCCGCCCCGCGCCAGGTGTTACTACACGCGGTTGAAGCTGAAGAGCCAGATCATCATGTTCAACCACCTGCTGGAGCAGCAGGTGGCGATGGTGCAGGCAAGTGGAGGCAGGCGGGCAGTTGCATCATGCCCCGCCCCGCCGCCGCCGACGACGCTTTCGTTTTGCAGCTGTTCTGTCGCGCCTGTTGTCGCGCCTGTGCTGCCGCTGCGGCCTGGTCGGCCGGGCCGGCCCCTGACGGGCAGCGCATGCCTGTGTGTGTGAGGGAGGGGCCAGGCGGGGCCAGCACGTGTGGCTGCGTGCTGTGCTGTGCCGAGCCGCCGCCGCCGCCTGCCCTGCCCTGCCCTGCTGCTGCCTGCCTGCCCGCCTGCAGAAGGTGCAGCGCGGCTGGGACGGCGCGGGCGGCGGCGACCAGCAGTTCGCCTCGGTGCCCCAGTTTGTGAGCACCACCGCCAGCGGCATTCCGCTGTTCCAAACCAGCGGCGGCAGCGGCGGCGCGGCCGCGGGCAAGGGCGGCGGCGCGGCCGGCGCGGCGCGTGCCGGCGCCGGCGGCGCCGCGCAGCAGCAGCAGCAGCAGCAGCAGCAGCAGCAGCGGCAGCTGGACGCGGGGCGGCCGCCGGAGGGCGGCGGGCACTCGGGGGCGCACGGCGGCGGCGCCGCCAGCAGCAGCCATGGAGACCTCGGCTTCCCTGCTGAACTGGCTGACCACCACCACCACCACCACGGCGGCGCCCAAGCCTCGCCCCTGCTGCGAGTCGGCTCGGGTGCGCCCGCCCGCCTGCCTGCCCGGCCGCGGGGCGCGGCGCCCCCCACTGAGCGCCTCGCTCCCGGGGCGCCAGCTGCTGCTCTGCCTGCTCGCTGCCTGCTCGCTTGGCTGCTGCTCTGCGTGGGGGGTGGGCAGCCTGCTTCTCCTGCCTGCCTGAACCACACACACACACACACACACACACACACACTCCCTGCCCTGCCGCAGAGCACGACCTGCACAAGGCGCTGCTGCATGACCACGACATGTCTCCCATACACGGAGGTGAGCAGGCAGGCAGGCAGCAGGCACAGCCAGCCCCGCCGATCCAGCCAAGCCAGGCCACAGGCCACAGCGCGCAGCTGCAACCTTTGTCCGGTTGCCGGTTGGCGTTACAGCAGCCAGGCTGGCCGCCCGACGGGCCGGCCGGCCAGCGCGGCAGCCGGCTGCGGCGCGGCATCTCGTCCGCTTGCCCGCGCGCCTGCCCCGCGCACCTCATGTGTGCCTCGTGTACTGCGTGTACTGCAGGCGCTGAGCTGGCCATGCTGCCCCGCAACTTCAGCCTGTCGGACCTGGCTCTGGAGCATCTGCACGGAGAGGTGGGTGCGGTGCGGTGCGGTGCGGCGGGGCCCTTTCTCCCTTTCTTCTGTGTTGTTCTTGGTGGTGGCGGTAGGCTTTTCGCGGCCGCCATGGGCCTGTGGAGGCCGCCCTTGGCAGCCCACCAGTAGCGCTGCCCTCAGGAAAAAGGCCTGCCGGCAGAGCAGTTAGGGCGCCGCGGGTGCCACCGCCTCGCTGGCGCCTCGCTGGCGCCGCCGCTGGCGGACCGGGCTGATCGGGCGCTTGGTGCCCGCCTGCCTCCCGCCTGCAGGGCCCCACCGACATGCAGCACGACTTCAACCTTGGAGCGGCGGCCGCGGCAGCCGCGGCGGCGCCCAGCACCAGCGGCACGTGACGTGCCGCCCGGCTGGCAAAGCCGTGCGCACTCGCGCTTGCAGCTCCATCTTTTCTAGCCGGCGACGCGGGCGCCGCTTGCCCCTCGCCCCCCTTCTGACCCCCAGTTTTGATATGCTTTGCTAGAGTCAGGCCCCCCAACACATGATCACTTGATGCTCCTCGCGCTCGCCGGTTCTGCCCTTTGCCCCGCTCGTCTCTCCCTGCTTTCCTCCCGTCCTTTTGAACTACCAACCCTGTGGAAGGGCAAGCACACAGCTGCTTGCCATTTTCTCCATTCTTGCCCCCCCTCGCGGCCTGTCCCATGCCCCGGCAGCTCAATACGCACTGGCTCTTTTCCGTCTTGTCCCCGCCACTCCCCCGCTCCCTCCCCCATCCCTTGCCGCACAGTTGCGCTGCCTGCCCTCCCGTGCCAACGTCCCTCCCTCCCGGCCTCAGCCCCCAGCCCAGGCCCTGGGTCAGGCAGCGCCGCCGCACTGGGTGCGCACCACACATGCATAGCATACCAGCGTGGTGTGGTGCACCAGAATACGTGTCCCCACTTGCAATGCAGCAGCGCAGGTGTGGACCCCATGTAAGCTGCACAGTGCCCACAGGGCAGCAGGCCTGCCATGGAGACAGGTGGCACCAGCGCGCCCCTGTTGCCCTGCCTGGGCTGTGCCGGAGCGCCCGCCTCCCTCGCCCCTTCCTGCCTCGGCCCCCGTTGTTGGTAGCAGATCGGTACAGAGGCACCTCTGTAGGATGCACAACAGGCACCGGCAGTATCTTCGTGGTCTGATAAAGAAAGAAGGGGTAGTGTGGAAAGAATGGAAATGCGCGGGAGGACGGGGGCCAGGGTTTTATGGCACCGTCGACACTCCCTGCGCAAGTGCGTTGCGTTGCGTTGTGTTTGTTCAAACGGCAAGAGGAGCAGCAGTGCGGTTTGGTTCAAGCAGAGCAAAGCTGGGAGCGGGCGGGGTTGTTGGGCACGGTTGATTGCACAGCAGCCGCCCGCAAGCATTGGGGACGCACAGGGTGGGTTGAGGAGGGGACGAGCCACACAAAGCAGCTGACAAGAGAATTTTTGACAGGGAACATAGACGGGATAGGGACAGGTGGAGACGGGGGCGGGTAGGCAAGGTGGAGAGGGGGAGACAGCCGCACCAGGGCCGCCGATGCGGGCACCCATACCGGCACAGAAGCTCGGAGGGGGCACGGGAGAGCAGAGACAGGCATGGTGGGAGGCCGGGGTGCAGCGCCGGCGCATGCACGTCTGGGGGGCACGCCTGGCGCACAAGCTGTGGTGCGGAGGCAGGCAAGGCAGCGCCACCCCGGGCGGCGGGGAGCCCGCGCGGCGGCGGCCCTTGGCTGCAAGCTGAGCACCAGGCGGCGTGCGGGGAGGGGCGGCGAGGGGAGGGAAAAAACAGCGTAGCGTCAGGCAGGGACGGGAAGAGGGAGAGCGGGAGCGGGGGGGTTCAAGAAGAGGATCTGCTGGGGGGGCCTGGGCGCTCGTGAGGGGCCACAGCGCACAAATCGTGCGGGGGGCAGCTTCAGCGCCAGGGCAGGAGCGCAGCTGAACCAAGCAAGCAAGCAAGCAAGCAAGGGAGGAGGCAAGAGGGAGGCGAGGGTGCACGGGGTTCACAAGCCGGGAGCCGCAACAGCCGCAGCCAGAGGGCTTCACAAGGCGGGGCGCCGGCCGGACGGGCGCCGTGCTGCAAGGGTGTGTGTGGGGTGGGGCGGCGCCTAGGGGCCAAACAGTGGGCGGCGCACAGAGCGCTGTGGCTGCTCCTCCCGGCCCCACACGTCGCGCCTGCAGCAGCCGGCGCGCGCTTTCAGAGGGCGTCAGAATGAGGCCGCGGGCAGTGGCGGGCGGAGGCCGGCAGGCAAGGGCGGGCGCCGCCGGGCCACCTTCGGCTGCAGGCAAGGCGAGCCCAGCGAGCCTAGCGCCGAGCGGCAGATGCAAAACGAAAGCACGCAGCTTGAGGCCTGTGTGTGCCCGCCCGCCAGCGTCAGCCAGCCAGCCAGCCTGCAGCCAGAGCTAGCTCACCGGTCCAGGAAGGGCCGCCCATCGTCGTCTAACGTCAACACCTCCCACACCCCAGACAGCTCCTGCTGCCGCGCCGTGCTGCCGGCGCCGGGCGCGGCGCCGCCGCCGCCCGCCGTGCTGGCCGGCTCCGCCGGCGCCGCCTGCCCGAGAAGCTTGCCCAGCGCCTGCTGCCCGTAGCTGCGCTGGCCGGCGGTGGGCGGCAGCGGCGGCGGCTCCCGCTCTATCCTTTCCCCAGGCCTCAGCTGCGCAAGCTCCTCCTGCGCCACACCAAAGCCAGGGCGCCAGGTAAGTCAGAGTCAGGCGCGCGCTTCCGCGCATGCGCACATGTGCGAGCAGCGAGGCCGCTGTTGGGCAGAGACCGCCCCCCTTCCTTGCCACACGCGGGCACGCCACCAGACACGCCACCCACCACCACGCCACACGCCCAGCCACTCGTTGAGCTGGCGCACCTCGCTCGGCACTTGCAGCACGCGGTTGGGCCCCGGCTGCCACGCCACTATCGCCATCTGCTTTGTGATCTTCTGAACGTCGGGAGGGCTGCAGGCAGGGGGGAGGCAGCGGGGTGCCGGGGGGTGGTGGCACCCATGGGCGCAGGGTCGGGCGGCGGCAAGGTGATGAGCCCGTGCAGCCGCGCCCTGTGCCCACAGCGCTCGCCGCACGCACGCCCCCAGCCTCCTCGTGCCTCCCCAGTCCTCTGGCACCCTGCCTCTGCCTCTCTCTCTCTTGCTCCCAGCTGACTGCCTGCGCGGGCCCCCAGCCAGCGGGGAGGCACAGGCCCCTGCCCGCCCCTGCCCGCTGCAGGCAGTACCGGGCGGTACCGCACCTGGAGTCGGGCTCGATGCGGTACGTGTACTCCACCTTCCCCTCCGACAGCTCATTCACCTGCGGGACCAGCCAGCCGCCAGCAGCCCACTCAGCAGCGGCCAGACGGCAGCAGCAGCGGCGGAAGCGGCAGCGGCAGGAGCAGCGACCGGCAGCAAGCGGCAGCGGCGTGGAGGGGCGCGGCGCATGCAAGGGGTGCGCTGCGGCGGCAGCACGCGGCGGCACGGCCGCGCGTCGCACCCCCGGCTCGCCGCCGCGGCTCGCTTCGCCCGGGGCCGCTCCCGCAGCCTCCCCGCCCCTCCCCGCCTCCCCACACACCACAACCAACCACCCCCAACCACCCCCCACCTGTGACATCCAGCCCAGTTCCAAAAATCACTTCCCCAACCAAACCACCCACACCCTCCCGTGTGCTACACACCCACACACCCACACCCACACTCGCGCACCCACCTGCTGTGTCCAGTCCTGCTCCTCCAGAATCACATACTTGTACTCCACCTTGGTACCGGCGGGCAGCTCCACCTCCACCGCCCAGATGTCGCCCGGGTTCCAGGAGGCCGGCACCTTGGCGATCGACAGGAAGGACCAGCCAAAGGGGATCTGGTTGCCGCCCACGCACAGCATCTGGCGGGAGTGCACGCGGTACTCCACAGCTAGCCGCACCCTGCGGGGAGGGCAGGCAGGCGGTGCCAGGTGCGTGGGGGGCGTGCAGCGGCCGGACTTGGCGTGGCGTGGCGTGCGGGAGTGGCGGGCGCGGCGCGGGGCGGGGCATGCGCCGCGGCGCCGCGACGTGGCGGGCCGCCAACCCGGCCGCGGGCGGCACCCCGCCGGGCGGCGGGCAGCATGCTGGCCCTGCATTGCAGCTGCCGAGGTGCAGCCGCAGCAGCGGCTCCCGTGGCAGGCAGGCCAACGCAGCGCGGGCCGGCGGCGGGGGGTGGGCCGCACAGCGGCGGCGCGCAGCCTGCTGGTGCCGCACCTGACGAGCGGCGGCGTCTTGCGCAGGTCGCCCGCATCTTCCCTCATGGGGAACTGAAGGAAGTTGCCCTGAAGCTGCGTCTTGCTGTCCCTCAGGCGGTCGCGGTCAAAGTCGCTAATGAAGAGGGGGCCCGGCACGGCTATCGCCCGCACGGCGAGCGCGGCCCGCGCTCGCCGTGGCGGCGCGACGGCCCGGCCTGCTGCCAGTGACGCCCCCCCCGCCGTGCTGCCAGCGAGCAACGCCCTCATTCCGCTGCGATTGGGTGTCTCCAGGGCGGGCCCAAAGGCCCCGGCTGCCAAGCTTGCTGCCCGGTGCTGATGCCGCCGGGTGCCCCCGCGCAGCGCTCCGCCGGGCTGCGCCCGGCTGCTACATCGTGGAGGCCAACCTCTACTGCTGCTGCTGCTGCCGCTGCCAGCGTTAATACTGCAGGGTCTGCTTGTGCTGCCAGGCTGCTGCGCTGCCACCGCCGTGGGTGCCAGGTTCATGGCTCCGTGGCAGCCCCAGCAGCCCAACACCCCACGGCAGGGCGGCGATCGCGCCTGGCTTGGGGAGTGGCAAGCGGGAGAGGGGTTTGCTTATGGCACAGCCATCGTCCGCTATGATAACATCGCTTTATGTGGTGGAGGCCGCCCTGGCAAGGGTGTTTGCATTGGGCGCGCCCGCCTTCACAAATTTTCCTGGTCTTTCCAACTGACCTCGCCGCCTAAAAACGCCAGTTCCAGTCGCTTGGGAGGGCATTTACGTGACCTGGACCGTCCCACTTTGAAGGGAGAGCGTCAGAGATGTCTTGTATGCTGCCGGTGCCACATGTGGTGGATGCCTGCGCCAGCCTCCTGCCTGTGGCTTTGCAGACACACAGCTTAGAAGCGAGGGTTTATGACATGGATGCACATGCCAGGTAGCAACACAATCAGAGTTGGCAGGCGCGCAGGGGGCAGCCGGCGGGAGTGGTGCAAGGGCTGAACACAGAGGGGAACGGAAGTCAGATGCTCAGGCAATAGACTGTGCTGAAGGAACTGAAGTCGGAAAGTGAAGTCAACAGGAAGCAGTCCAACAGCAAGAGAGAGTCAACAGGATATGTAAAGAGACTCTAGAGTATTCAGTAGCCAACTGGAGCCGCGGCCGCAGTAGAGCGCCGTGCGGCGAGCGGCTTTCAGGACCTGAGCCAGGGGCCAGCCTGCCTGCCGCTCAGTCGCCTGTCAAGTCAATAACTTCGGAGTCCCCCTGCTGCTGAGGCGGGGCAGGAAGAGGAGGAGCGGGGCACCAGCCTGGCCCTGTGAGGTCGATGGGGCCGCCGCCGCCGCCAGCTGGCACCTGGCGCTGCCGCTTGGCCGCCTGCTCCTCCTCCTCACCCCCCTCGCGAGCGCCGCGCTTGGCTGCCGCTCGCTGTCTGGAGGATGGCTGCGCCTGCGGCTGCGGCGACAGGGCCTCCTGCTGCTGCTGCCGCGGCTGCAGGGGCTGGCCGGCCGGCTGCCGGCGGCTGCCGCCACAGGAGATGGCGCCGCCATGCAGGGCCTGGAAAATCCGCTTCTGCAGGCCGCTCTGGGGGCTTCCCTCCTGCTTCCGCTTGGCCCGCTGCTGCGCCGCCTCCTCCTGCGCCCGACGCTCAGCTTCGGCCGCACGCCGTGCCGCGTCAGCCTGCTCCGCCTGCCGCCTCCTGGCCTCCTCCGCCTGCCGCTGCCGCTCCTCCGCCTCCTGCCGCTCCTTCTCCTCCCTCTCCTGAGCCTGCTGCGCATTCTCCACTGCTTCACCAGCTTCCGCCACCGCGGCTTCCGCAGTGTCCACAGCAGCGTCTGCCGCTTCCAGCCGCTCCCGGGCAGCGGCGACGGCGGCCTCGGCGGCGCCAGCCGCCGCCTCCGCCGCCGCCACCTCGTCCTGACCTGCCTGCAGTGCCGCGGCCTCCTGCAGCCGGTCCTGCTGCTGCTGCGCCTCTCGCAACAGCCTCTCAGCCTTCTCAGCTGTAAGCAGGTTGAGGTAGGCTGCCAGCACTCCCGGGTGCTGCACCCCAGGGGAGCAGCAGAGCCAGCGGCGGCGGCGAGGCCACCGTCGGTGTAGGGCAGCAGCGCAGAGCCGCGAGCCAACGTGACGCTTCCAGCCTGGGTGCGAGCAGCAGAGCAGCTGGCGCCTGGCAGGGGTGCCCCCACCCCGCACATGCCCCTGCCAATAGGTGTCCGCACCCTGCCCCCACCCACGCCCCCGCACATGCCCCTGCCAACGCCCGCACCTGATCCAGCGCTTTGCGCAGCGTCAGCGTGTCGCCCTGCTGGCCGCCGATGCACTGCAGGCAGGGGCACGGGGAGCTTGCTGAGCAAAAAGGCGCCCAGAAAGATGCAGGAGCACAAGGCTGGGGACAAGCAAGAGGATGGGGACACCACCCCGCCGCTCTGCCCCTGGTACCGCAGGCAATGGCATCGCAGGCGAAGGAGGCCGGGATTTGCAGGTGGCGCTTCCCTACACATTCCCCAGACGTTGGCGGCAGGCAGCACGCGCCAGGCAGGCGCAGCGCAGCGGGCAGCCGCCGCCTCGCACCATCATGAGCTGCTGCTGCACCGCGTGGCGCGCCCCCAGCAGGTCTGCCAGGCTCAGCAGCCGTGGCTGCGAGCCGCCGACCTCCTCCACCTCCATCACATCATCCTGCCCGCCGCCCTGCGGCTGCTCCTCCTCACCCTGCTGCTGCTGCTGCTGCTCCGGCTGCTGCTGCTGCACTGGCTGCTCCGCCTGCTGCTGCTCAGGCTGCTCAGGATGCTGCTGCTGCTGCTGCTGCTCCACCGCCCCCGCCTCCTGCCGGCCGCCCTGCTCGGCTGCTGGCAGCACCAGCCGGTAGCACTCCTCGAAGGCGCCAGACCTGCAAAGCATGGGAGGATGGGGTGGAAAGCGAGGGGTGGAAAGCGAGGGAGCGGGGGTAGGGCTGCGGGCAGGGAACTGCTCGAGTGCGGCACCGGCAGCAGCAGAGCAGCGGGCGGTCCGCCTCAGGCAGCACCGCTTGTGGCGACGACCTTGCCTGTATGCACCATCCTCCCCGCAAGCCTTCTCCAGAGCCGCGCTCGCAGGCTCCACCATGCGGCCCCTCCTGCCCGCCACCGCTGCCTCCCGCTGCCGCCGCCGCTCCTGCGCCGCCTCGTCGGCTGCCTGCTCCGCGCGCCCAACTGCCGCATGAGCCACCTTTGCCGCAGCTTCCGCCTTTTGCACCGCTGCGCGGCACTCGTCACGCCGCTGCTGCGCCTGCTGCAGCTCAACCTGCGCCGTGGCTTCCTGCCGCTTCTTTGAAGCCAAGATGGTTGTCAGCTGGAGCAGTTTGGGTCCGCTCCTGGCTCCCGTCACCAAGGTGCGTCGCCCGCTGCCGCCCGGCGTGGCGCCGGAGGCCGGCGCCATGCGGCCGCTGGCCGGCGTCTGCGCCTGCTGCTGCTGCGCCTGCTGCTGCTGCTGCTGCTGGCCGGTGGCTGCCGCAGCGGGCGTCGAAGCGCCTGCCTGCGGCACTGCAGGCAGCTGCTGCTTCAGGGGAGTGGACTCACTTTCCGAGGCGGCCCGGGGCGGCACGCCGCTGCCGCCGCTGCTGCCGCTGGTGTGAACCGCCGCCGCCGCCGCGGCAGCAGCCCCAGCCGCACCTGCAGCTGCCGGCGGCACTCCCCATGCCTGCTCCTGCCCCGCCTGCACCGCTGCTGCAGGCGTGAAGGCCACCTCGCCAGCTGCGCCCGCTGCGCCCGCTGCGCCTGCTGCGCCCGCCGCGCCCGCCGACACCGCGTCAGGCGGGGCGCCGGCCGGCGGGTCGGCTTTGGAGGGCTGGTCTGTGCCGGTGGCGCCGCCGCTGCCGCGCGACTGCAGCTGCTCCAGCGCCGCCAGCTGGCGCTTCAGCTCATCGGCCTTTGCTTTCCACGCCTCGGCGCGCTCCTGCTCCTGCCGCGCCTTCTCCTCAGCCGCAACCATCCTGATTTCTGAGCCCACCGCATCAAAGTAATCCTGCAGCGGACAGCGGGGCAGGGTGGAAAAAGCAGGAGGAAAAGGCAGGACGCCGGCTGCCCCACCCCGCGGCGATGTATGAGGGGAGAAGGAGGGGCGGCTAGAAGTCCTGTACTGCTGCGGTACTGCCTTGCTCACCCAACCATAGTGGTACAGCAGGTCCGAGCCCTGCTCCTGGCCTGCACCGCAAGAAGGTACCACGTCAGATGCAGTCATGTGCAAGGCAAAGGCCGTTCCCATTTCACCTGGGCCGAGCAATGTAACCAACCATTCCCAGGCCTGCCCCTCCCCACCCTCTCTGCCTCTCAACTCGCCTGGCCGCACCGCCTTGGTTGTGAACATGACTAGGAAGGGCCAGCCAGCCACCAGCACATCAAACACGTGGCAGTTCTCCAGGTCGGGAGCCGCCTCATACTCCTGGAGTGCACCGGGCGCAGCAGGCCAGCTGTTGGCGCATACCCCCCAGAGCCACCCTGGCGTTTTATGCTTTTCCTCCTTCTTCTCTTCTTCTCCTCCTCACAAGGCCCACAGCTTGGCGGCCAGCCCGCGTGACGTGACGTGACCAGGAGGGCGGTGGCGGCGGCGCGGCGCGGGCCTGCGGGCCAGCGGCGCAGCACGCGGGAGGCGGCGGCGGCGTGCGAGCAGCCCCGCATACCTCAAACGGGTTGAGCTGCGGCGCATTGGTGCGCATCGTGGCGTTGCCGCAGGTATAGGCGGAGGCGGCGAGGCCGTACTGCGGAGGGCACAGGGGTGGGTGGTCCCAGGCGCGGTGGGTGGCAGGCAGGCAGCGTCGGCCGCCCGGCGACACGCTGGCATGCCCTACACACAGGGCCAGCCTCGGCCCGGGCCAGCGCACCCCGCCTCATAGAAAGCCTCGGCTACTAGACCCAAAACCCTTCCCCCGGCAGCCGCAGCAACCCACGTCAGGGCCCTCTTTGAAGATGAAGCCATATGGTTTAAGCTTCTGGTCACTTGCAAGACACTCCTTCAAGAAAGGCCAGTTCTCTGGCTCGGCCACGTAGCTGCCCACCGCCAGCTGCCACTGCGTGGGGCTGCAGGCGGGCGGGCAGGCATGTTAAGATTAGGGCAGGCAGGCAGGCAGGCAGGCGCAGCTTGGGGCCGCAAAGCAGGCAGGCCAAGCTGGGTGTGCCTTGCCCTGCCTCAGCACGCCCACCATGCGCGGAGCCACCCGGCCGGCGGCTGCTTCACGTATGCCTTCTGCTCATACTTGAACCGTACCTCGCTCCTGCAGGCCGGCGCGGGTGTAGGGGTGGCATGTGTGATGGCTGGGTGGGCAGGAGAAGGTGAGCGGGGGCATCGAGGAAGGCACAGGCAGCAACGGGCACGAGGGGAGGCAGCAGGAGGCGGGCGGGCAGCCCTGGGAGGCAGACTGGCCAAGGGGGGCGCCCCGAAACCCGCCCACCCCGCCACCTGGCCTCACCGATAAAACCCCACAAACTCGTCAGCAGGCATCTCCTGGCCAGCCTTCACGCGCAGGCCCCGCCCGCCCCTGCATCAGCAGCGCAGCGTGGCGGGTCAGCCGCCTGGCCGTCCGGCCGCGCGGCGAGCGGCACAGCGTGCAGCGCAGCGTGCGCAGCGTGCGAAGCGCGCAGCCAGCATGCGGCACGCAGGAGCCCACCCACCTGAGCCCCTCTCTGGGGTCTTCAGCTTCTATGACATACTCCTCAACCCGGTCTGCAGCAGGCGCCCATGGGGCAAACGCGGGCCTGTGCTGCAAGCCGTCCCGGGTGGCGCCAGGCTGGCAGCCCCTGCTGCACCGCGCGCTTGCTCTGCCGGGCGCGAGCAGGCGCGGGGGGATGCCCGGGGAGGCGGGTGCTGTGCTGGAGCAGGGTGCGCATCACCTGACACCGGCGGGTCCCTCAGTAGCTCCAGCTTGTGCAGCAGCTCCCTCAGCGGCAGCTTCCAGTTGCGGCTGCGACCCAGGCCGATGTGCGCTTCCAGCACCCTGGCCAGGCTGCACAGCCTTCTTTCGGCTGCCTCTGAAACGTCGCCTGTCGCGGCGGATGCGCAAGCACACGAAGCGCGGGCGTCGTGGCGCGGCAAGAGGCTGCTGTATTCTGGTGGACCGCAGGGCAGACAGAAGCAGGCAGGCAGGCAGGCAGGCAGGCTCCAGCAGACCGCACCGCTCCCTCAAGCGGGTCTCCCTAGCAGCGCAGGGCCCGGGCGCCATCGCACGCAGCCAGCCACTCGCCTGAAGCAAACTCCAGGACCTCCCTCACCCTCACTTCCCTGGCCGCGCTGGCCGCCGCGCCGGCGCCCTTCCTCGTGCCTTTCTTCTTGCCCTTCTTCTTGGGGGGCGGGGCGGGGCTGGGAGGGGTGCAGGCATACAGCTCCCATGTGGCGCGCCAGGCCCGCTCCACCTCAGGCATCAGCCCGTGGCACAGCTGCATCACACAGCAAGCAGGAGGAGGCGTCAAACACGGCCCGAGCGTGGGCGAGGATGTGACAACCACTTACACAAGCGCCTGCCACCTGGCACGGGGAGCAAGCCACTGCAGGCTTGGGTTGCTGGCTGCCGTCGTGTTGCATGCTCACCACCAGCTTGCCCCCTGGCGCGGCCTGGAACCCAGCCTCCTCTTGGATCCGCTTCAGGGGCTCGGCAGCATACCGCATGTGCTCGTTGCTCAGCCCACCGCCAGCGCCAGCAGCCGCGCCGTCGGGCCGCTGCTGGCGCGGGGCGGACCGCCGCTGTGGCCGCCGCCGCGGCTGCTGCTGCTGCTGCTGCTGCTGCTGCTGCTGCTGGGAGGCCAGAGAGCTGCTTGGCGCTTGGCTGTTGCCGCGTGTGGGGCTGCCGCTCTTGCCCCTGCTCCCGCTGCCCTCCTCCTCTCCCTCCTCATGCCCCTCGCTAGACCGAGAGGGCTGCTGCAGCGGCACCATTACTGATAAGCTGCCGTCTGTGGCTCCTCGTGCTGCTCACCGGCCAACTCTGGCGGTAGCTCAGGGCGCTGGCAGTGGTGAGCCTCGCGCGCTGCAGGAAGGGAGGCAGCAGGGCATGTTGGTGAGGGGCAGCACAGGCCCCAGGCTGATTGTGGACGAGGAGGGTGCGCACGTTGCGAATGGCCCCCGTTGCAAAACCCCGGGGCGGGAGAGAAGGCGGGAGGGTGGCAGGCTGCCTGCGGAGCCCTCCGGGGGCCCAGCTCCTGACCTCACCTGAATTTATGGTGCCTCCTCGCGCTGCAAGCCTGCCCGGAAGGTCTGCGTGCAAACTCAACTCAAGAGGGTGCTTGCCGCGGGAGAGCAGGCGGGCGTCAATCGGTACTGCTACAGTTGATGCCACACACTGGCCGATCAAATTGCAGCGACCAGGGGAAAAGCAGAGCGCACAGCAGCGCTCCACTGTGAGCGCCCGCCCCTGATCGCTGAGGACAAGGGGGAGACACCCTTCCAAAGCTCTGCGACACCTGCCCGCGGTGCCAGAGTTGCCGAGGCTAAAACCGCGCGAGCATCATCATGCTGTGGCACCACAGCAGGCGCCCGCCGCGCGGTCACACGAGGTGAAGGTGCAGGCAAGTGCCCATGTTGCATGCTGCAAGCCAGACCCCTTGCACACACTCTGCCAAGGTGTGACATGCATTGTGACGACTGATGAGCACTCTGGCGGGCCAGCTGCACTGCCACACAGCCATTGTTGCGAAAGCCACGCCAAGAATGCAACAAGCCGGCACCCTCTGCTGCATGTCTCCATCAGGTTGAGCGCGGCATCACAGCAGGTGCACCATTCAGCTTTCAAACAATGAAATGTGCAGGGCCGGCGCCGCCTCATCCCGCCTGCGGCATTGCTGTTGCCGCTGCAGGCGCTGCATCTACTGCCGCAATGGCCGCCGCGACGGCCGCAGGGTCGACGGCGCGGTGCACCTGCGCCGACAGCTCCGCCCACTCCAGGCAGCGCCGCAGGCCGTCGCCCTTGAGCGGCGCAGAGTCGTGGTTGTAGTAGTGCAGGTGCGAGAAGCCGCCGGTGGCAACCCAGGACGTGAGCGCGCCTGCGGCACCGCCCTGGCTGCCGTCCGCCTGCTCCGCCGCATCCTGCTGCCGGCACTCGATCACCGCGCCTGAGAAGCCATCGGGCAGGGGAAGGCATACGCCTGCGGCAGGGTTGCAAGGTGGCTGCGCTGGTTGGTGACGTGGCACATGGGCAAGACGGCCAAGCAGCAGTTTGGGTAGCAAGCGGGTGGCGGCCAACGTGCCTGCCAGGTTGCGCCCCCTCAGGCTGCACTGGAGCACCGGCAGCCCATCCACGGTGGCTCCTGCACATACCAACACGGCAGGGGGGGGGGGGGGGGGGTTGTGAACCGGGTGGAGAGTCATGATCGCTTTCAATGTCAAAGCTGGGGTGCCCGCACCTGACTCCTGGGGTCTGAAATACGCGTTCACTGCTGCAGGGCCATTGTGCTCAATCAGGGCAGGCACTAGGTGCACCGCCACCTCTGCCGCCCCGCTGGTGTCCAGCTGCCTGGCCGCCATCGTGTGTCTGTGGGTCTTGCGCGAGTGTGCAGTGCCCCGTGGATGCCCAGCCGGCCTCTGTTTGGCCCGCTGTCACCGGCTGAGCCGTAGGGCAGTACCTTGCCGGCACTACTCCTCCAAACGCGGTCACAAAGGCCATCAGACGCATTCCTCGCAACCATCAGCAATCGGAGAGCAGCCATGGGGGGCAAGAAGTTCCGATTCGTGTACATTCCCTGTGACATGTGAGCGCCAAGCGCCTCCAGCACTGAGGAACAGCAGCTTAGGGAACAGGGGCCTCGCATGCGTGCTCTCAGGCAGCTAGCCGCCGCTGGGAGCCGCCCGCCGCCACCCACCCTCTTGCCCGCCGTGACACCGCCGCCTGCCACGCAGGAGCGAGCCGCTGCAGCAGTGGGAGCTGGAGATGCCTCCAGGGAAGGAGGTGGAGTGCCTGATCGACAGGCTGAAGGTGCATGGATTGCCTTGCGGGGCCCACAGCGCTGCGAATGCCGAGCTGCCCAAGTGCACACGACCAGCTTCTGGAACCACAGGGCAGGCGCCAAACCTGGCCCAGCCTGGCCCCCCCTGCCTGCCTGCTCCCCTCGCTCCAGGCGCACTTTGCCTCGCACGGCCCCCAGAAGACGTCGGCGCAGGTCAAGGCGCAGCAGGCAGAGCTGATGAGCAAGCTTCCAGAGGTGGGCCTGGTGCTGCTCATCCTCCGCCTCGGTTCCACACTCACATCCGGCACGGCGGTTTGCACAGCAGCCTGTCGGTGCGGGAGCAGGCTGCTGTTCGCTCACCCCATCCTCTGTGTGCCTGGGCATCTTCCGGCACCCCCAACTCAACCTGGGTGTGCAGGGCACCAGCATCGACAGCAAGGTGCTGGATGTGGCCACCTCCCTCCACATGGTGAGCCGAGGTACCTGCTTTCCTTTCTTCTCTGCTCTTGCTTCTTCTCTCACATACTCATCACCACCACGCCAGCCCTGCGCACCGCATCAGCACCGCCCCACCCTCCCACCCCACCCCACCCCACCTGCAGGTGGAGAACATCTCGCTGCTGTCCAACGCCAAGGACAACGGCTTTGTGGGTGGGCGCCGCCGCCGCCGCCCCCCGAAACCGCGGCGAGCAGTGCCTGTCCTGCCTCTTCTGATGCATGCACACACGCCCGCGATGCGTCCCTCTGCGCCATCCCGCTCCATTTGCTCATGCGCCTGGGCTACCTGCAGGCGTCAACATGTACGTGGATGACGAGGGCTCCATCCGCGGCCTGCCCCGCAACCTGCGCGCCTCCGAGATTGCCCACTGCTGCGGCAAGCCCCTCGAGGTGTGCCTCACGCCACCAGGCCTGCCCAGGCCTACAGCCGGCTGTGCCAAGCCTGGAACTGGGGCCCAGCAAGCACACACATCTCTTCCCACTCCTTGATTCCCCTCTCTCGCACACTCATACACACCTCAACCACCACCACCACTGCCACACTGCATCAAGCGCCACTCACACACACACACTCGCTGGCCCGCAGGTCAAGGGAGACGCTTTTCTGGCTCGAGTGATGGACAACGGCGACGACTTTGACCGCCTGGACCTGGAGCTGGGCGAGGTGTCCTCCGGGGCGGCCTGGGTCAAGGCCGCGGCGAGCCAGAACGAGCGCAAGCGGCAGCAGGCGCGTAGGGGCGTGGGCTGGGCAGGTGGACGGGACCTGGGGCGTTTGGCCCGGGGGTGGAGGGTGTGTGTGGCGGGCTGGCGGGCTGGCGGGCTGGTGCTAGGGGTGATTTGTGCTGCTGGGCCTGGGCCTGATGGGAGGCCCCAAGCGCTGTGCCGTCCTGCAGGAGAGCGGCGAGGCGCTTCTGGAACGCATGCGGGCCGGCAGGGATGCGGCTGCGGCAGCGGGGGCGGCAGCAGGGGCGGCGGCGGCCGCGAAGCAGGCTGCGGTGCGGGAGCTGACGCCTGCAGAGGCGGCCAAGGATGAGGGCAACAACGCCTTCAAGCGGGGCGATTGGCGGGGCGCCATGGAGCAGTACACGCGGTGAGTGGGCGGCGGTACAGGCTGGCCGAAAGCAGCCTGTGCTGCTGCCTCTGTTGAGCTGGCGCAGCTCACGCGCCTGCCGCGTTGCTGCCACATGCGCCTGCCTCCCCACACGCCCCTCGCCCATGCTCGCCGCCGTGCAGGGCACTTGAGCTGGAGCCGGGCATGGTGGCTGCGCTCAACAACCGTGCCATGGCCAGGCTGAAGATGCAGCAGTGGGCAGAGGCGGAGGCCGACTGCTCGGCGGTGCTGGCAGCAGAGCCACGCAACGTCAAGGCGCTGCTGCGGCGCGCGGCGGCGGCGGCGGCGCTGGGCCGGCAGCCGGCTGCGGCCGACGACTGGCGTGCGGTGCTGGCGCTTGAGCCGCAGAACAGGGAGGCGGCAGCGGGGATGGCCGGGGTGGAGGCTGCAGTGGCGCAGCAGCAGCAGCAGGCACAGCAGGGATAGGGGAGGTGCCGTAGTGCTGGCTGGCATTGGGTGGGTCACGCATCAATGCAAGAAATCGAGTGAGCTTCTCCTGTAATTTCAAGGGGGGCAGATGATGGATGTTTGATTATCAGTGACTGGGCAGCGCCAGCTAGCTCAGTGCCAACTTGCTCAGCAGCGTCGCACCGCCAGCTTTGAGCTGTGGCGGCAGGCGCCCCTCCTCGTTGGCCTCCCCTGGCCGGCTTGATCGTTCATGTGCTTGCAAGGCACCATGCTGGAGCCTTGTAAGTGCCTGCTACACAACCGGTCACAACGAAGTACGGTGCTATTGGTACGTGCAGTACAAGGCCCACTGCACACCAGCGACTCCGACGCAAAAGCAATGATGCATCATCCCGTTCTGGAGGAACGGGCGTGGCAGCCGAGCTGACCTGCAGGGCGAAGTTATGTGGAGGGCTCTGCCCGTCCTCCGCAGCCTGCTGTGTCTGGGTTGCCTAGTAGCCCGGAGCCGCGCGTGTGGCGAGGCGGCGAGGCAGCGGGCAGGTCGGCGGCGCTTGCGATCGCCGGCGGCGGCGGCAGGAGAGCGGCCGCCTCCTGCCTGCTCCAGCGCCAAGACTCATGCAGCCGCCGGCGTGCTGGCGGCAGTGATTCAAGTGTGTGCTACCAGCAACAGTCATGCTCATGCTGCTGCCCTCATTCTGCCACCGAGCGTTTGTGTGCACTCGAGCTCGCCCACCCCATCTGCTTGCCTGTTCGCTCCCTGGCGCGCAGGCGCTGGTCATCCTGATGAAAATGGACCCGCTGAGCCTTCCCCCAGCGGTTCTGGCCAGCATGTTGGCCACCATTGCCCTCATCGCCGGACCGCTGATACTCCTGCCGCTGTTTTGGCCAGCGCGTTACGAGCGGTGGCGTGTGCCCCTTGTGGTGGCCACCCGCCTGCTCTGGTTCTCCATGTCTAATGTCAAGAGCGGCGAAGCCGTGTTTCATGTGCTCCAGGCAAGTCCAGGCCTTGCACAGTTCCTGCCTGCCTGCCTGCCTGCATAGCTGCGAATCGCATGTCCTGCTCTCTTCTGATTTTACCAAGTGCGGCGCAGTTTTGCCGGCCTGCAGAGGCAGCCGTCAGAGAAGCGGTTTGGGATTCTGTAGGATGCTTGGTTTATCATTCTCGGTGAGTTGAGGCATAAGTTCGATTACAGGGTGCTGCTTGCATTGGCTGTCACTTGGTTGGTGCCTTCAGGCTGGGCTGGTGCAAGGTGCATGCCTTGACAGTTGCCACCACACTCAACACCACATTACTCTGCCGCAGGCACCCGGTCCAACGCCATGTTTTTGGCTGCTGCACTTTTCCCGATCCCACTGCTGCCGCAAGTGGGACTGGCAGCTCATGCGCTGTTTGTGAGTAGGAGTTGTTTGCCCTCCTGGCTGCCTGCCTGCCTGCTAGCCCACCTGCTTTCTCTCCATCCTGTCGATTGTTTCAATTCCAGCGCGCACAACAACCTGACAACTTCTGCACGGTTGCTTGTGCTGCTGTCATCTCCCTTAGTTGCGGGTGCTGCTGTCATCTCCCTTCCGCTGCAGAGGTGCCGGAGCACTGCAAGCACGTGCCAGCGGGCCATGCTGCGCCATGGCGACTGGCAGCGGCGCATTTCGTTCCCACACCGTGCGATGGATTGGGTGAGAATTGGCAGCGTGCCTGGCCAGACTGGTGCATGGCAGCACCCGACAATGAGGGAAGCAACGCAAGAGGTTGCTCATTGCAGCAGTCTGGTGACTGAGACCCCCCCATTGCATTTGTGCAGGTGGTGCTGACGGTGCCACAGCCGCAGCAGACGGTCCCAAGCTCAGACGCAACAGAAGACAGCCTGGCAGCCACCCAGTGCCACAGCTTTGTTGTTTTCACCCAAATCTTGGTGGGCTGTGTCGCTCCGACGCTCGTCTTGAGCAAGCTGCAGCCACCCACGGCGGCAGCAGCAGCAGCAGCAGCGGGAGCAGGGGCAGGCATGCGGAGGCACGCACGCAGCACCAGGAGCAGTGGCAGCACCAGCAGCAGCACTGGCTCCGGTGGAGGAGAGCGAGATGCAGGCAGCTGTAGGCCGCGGTCGCGCCTGTGGGTGTTGCGCAGTCGCACGTTGAGCTGGCTGGCCTGGGCGGTGGCCGAGGCGGAGGCCAGCCTAAATCACCTCTGTGACTTGCTGACCTGCAGCAAGAGTGCTGGCGGCTCGTGGGCGCTGGCGGCAGCAGCCTGGTGGCTGCTGCTGGATGCCATCTGCCTGGCGGTGTTGGCACTGGAGCAGCCCGTGTGAACGGCGATTCCCAGATGCTTCTGCCGCCATCGTCCATTTGATACTTTGACTACGTTAGGCCAACTTCACCAATTCTGTTCCAGTATTTTATTGCAGAGTTTCCTTACCCTCCTTCTTTCACACATTGCTTCTGTGTTCGTTGGTTGCCAAATTCTTATTGCAAAGGGCAAGACAGAGACGACGCAATCAGCCCCTGCATGTGGGGCAGAGCTTGTTTTCCATTCCTGCCTCCTGTGACTTCCAATAACTCGATATCAAATGCAACCCAAAGAGCAGGCGCGCCCAATGAGCAGGCGTGTGCCTCATCCCCCCGCTGCCGCCACTGCCGCTGTTGCGTCGTAACGCAGGAGCGTATTGCCGCCAGCCTGCGACGCAGTACCGCCGGCGCGCATCGTGCCCGAGATATTCGACCGTTCCCTGATTCAACGGGACCTCGATCTCCATTAAGGAGCGGCAGACGGAGGGCCAACAGAGTGCCTGTGGCCAACTCGCAGCATTCTCAGCACGAGAGGGGGCATGAAACCAGGCCATGCGGGTCGCCGTGAGGTTGCAGACGTTCAATTGGAGACTGCCTGATCCCGCAGCAGCGACGGCTGAGCCCGGAGGCCGCAATGGGCAGCCCGGTGCTCCTGTCGCTGCTGCTCCTGGCCTGTGCGGCACCTGCACGCTTGCATCCGCTTGACGCTCGAGAATCTAGCACGGACGCTGCGCCAGGAGTCGCTGGCCACCGCGTTGCCATGGCCGCCGCCGCCGCCGCCAGCACGGCATCCTGGCGGCGCAGCCTGCGGCAGGCAACAGACCAGCAGGTCGTGCAGCAGCAGCAGCCTGGGTTTGCACAGAAAGAAGGCGGCAGCACTTTCGGGGCCGCTGGCGCGACAGCGGTGGCGGGTGCAGGGCAGGGCGTGCTGCTGGCCCAGGCCGGCGCCACGCAGCTGCCGCAAGCGCAGGTGCAGGGGCAGGCACAGCAGCAGCAGCAGCAGCAGCAGCAGGCGCAGGCGGCCGGCTTGCCGCGGTGCGCGCCGGCGGCGTCGCGGGAGCTGTTTGCGTCGCGGGCCGGTACCGGCGGGACCGTGATGGTCGCAGTCATGAACAGCGCCCAGTGGGACTTTGGCCTCAACTGGCTGCACCACGTCAAGGCTGCTGGCATCGACTTTTACGTGGTGGCTGCCGCAGACCAGGCCACCTCGGAGCGGCTGGCCGCCGCCAGCGAGCCCTGCTTCGAGTGGTTTGATGACGAGGCGCCGAAGCTGGGTGAGGGGCGGGCTGCTGCGCGGCAGGGGTGGCAGGGGGCAGCCGGCTAGCTGCACGCGTGGCTGCTCCCGGTGTTTGTGTCGCATGCAGGCATGTGCGCGTGCGGGGCGGTGTCTGCCTGGCCTTGCGCTGCCGCCCGCGCCGCCCGCCCTTCCGTACCAACACGACAGTCCTCCCCTGCCCGCGCGGCTGCCTGGCGCGCGCCCCGCAGGCCTGGCGTGGGGCCAGGAGGGCTGGCGGCGCATGACCTGGTCCAAGGTGTTTGTGCTGGCGGCGGTGGTGGACTATGGCTTCAACCTGGTCGTCTCGGACGTGGATGTGGTGTGGTTCAGGGACCCGCGCACCCTCATGGCAGCCCACCCAGACGTCGGTGGGTGGCGGCCGGCGGCTCGCGCCCTGTTCTGCTTTCCACGCTGCAAGCCTCCCTCTGTCGCTCAGCCGCTCACTCCCATCCTCCAAACCCTCCCTCCCTCTCTCCCTCCCTCCCACCCTCCCTACCTCCCTCCCGTCCATCCACCCGACCACCCCTCCACCCCCGCTGTCCACCCCCGCTTTCCCACCCGCGCAGACCTCATCTTCGGCCTCACGGCTCCAGCTCCAGCGGCGTGGGCGACTCGGGCCTGGAGCTGGACTTCCACCCCAACCACGCAGACTTCAACACGGGTGGGCAGGCGGGAGTTTATGAAACGTGGTTTTGTTAATAGGTGGTTTAATTATTAATTAATTGGTGGGCTGGCTGCGTGGGGCAGGGTGGGGCTGGGGGCGCGGGGCCTGGGCAACAGCGAGCCGCCCGCAGCACCGCGCCGGCGCTGCAGGCTGCGGCCGGCAGCCGCGCGCGTCGCCCCCGCCCAGACCCCAGCCGCCTCCCGCCGCCACCCACCACCGCCACTGCCCACCTCCCTACTGCTACTGCTCCTGCCCGCCTGCTGTACTGCCCCGCAGGCGTGTACACCCTGCGGTACAGCGCCAACATCAGCGCCTGGGCGCACGCCTGGGCCGCTTATTTCAAGGACTGCGACAGCCACGACCAGGTGGGAGGGAGGGCTGGCGCTGGGGGAAGGGTGGGCTGGTGCGGCAGCGGGCGGGCCTGGTGTGGCAGCGGGTGGGCGGTGACGTGCCAGGGGCTGGCATCCCAGGGGTGGGCTGCCGCCTGGCCACTCCCCCCCACACACACTGCCTCCTAGGTAGCCGCCCCACGCGCCGCATGCGCCCACGTGCGGCCGCCGCCGCGCTGCTGCCCGCCGCAGGTGTGCTGCTACCGCCTGATCCGCACGCCCGAGGGCGTGGGCCAGCTGGCGCCGCCCAGCCAGCGCATCTCCACGGCCTGGCACGGCCGCATCCGCCTGGCCGTCATGCCCGTGTCCATCTTCCAGAGCGGACACACCCGCTTCGTGCAGAAGCTTCACGAGGCGCGTGCCCCTGTGTGTGTGTGTGTGTGTGTGTGTGTGTATGATGCATGTGATGCGGTGTGGTGTGGTGGAGGATGGCGTGCGTGCGGGACAGCTGCCTAAAACCGGCTGGCTGCTTATGTTGGGGTGCAGGCCAAGCGAGTGCAGCCCTACGTGGTGCATGCCACCTGGACCTACAACGGACTGGTGAGGTGCCGGATGGCCGCCCCGGCGGCCCTGCTGCCTGGCTGGCTGGGGCAGCGCTGTCGGCGGGCTGGGCAGCGCAGCGCTGCTGCCGCGGCCCCATGCGCACGCCAGCGCCGGGGAAGCGCGCCGGCCGGTGCGCCCCGCCTGCCTGGCTCCGGCCCTGCCCCTGCCTCCTGAGCCTTGCGTGGCTATGCTCATGCGGCGATTCCCCGTGCGTGGTGGCGCAGGGCGGCAAGCGGGCCCGGCTGCGTGACATGGGGCTGTGGGTGGATGGTCCCGAGTATTATGCGGTGCCCAGCTTTGTCACCGTGGACCTGGACAACCTGCAGGTGGGCCTGCCTGCCTGCCTGCCTGCTTGCCTGCTGCTGCCACCGCTGCTGCTGCTGCTGCTGCCTGCCTGCGTGCCTGCCTGCCTGCAGAAAGAGGTGCCTGCCTGCCTGCCTGCCTGCCTGATGGAGCTGGGCCCACGCGGCCGCTCAGCTGCTCGCCTCCTCTCGACTGCCGCCCGCCTGCTCCCCTCCGCTGCCAGCCGTTGGCATGTTTGTTGCGCGCCACACCATCGCACCACACACGAAACCACCCGCCGCACGCCCAGCCGACCTGCCCGTGTCCTGCGACCCTGCTGTACCGCAGCCGCCTGAGGAGTACAACCGTTGGAGCGAGAACGAGGACATGGTAGGCCTGCACTTGGCCACCATGCGCCGCCAGCTGCAGCGGGCGTACGTGGGCATGGCGCTGGCGGTGGCCGCGGGCCGCCCCTTCATCCTGCCAAAGGCGAGCATGGGTGGGGTGTGTGGGGGTGTGGGAGGCGGGGCGTGTGTGCATGTGGGGGGCAGCGGTCCGCCCCCACCGCACCTCTCCTCACACCACCGTCCACCCTGCACCTAGCCTGCAGTTCCAGTGTTACTGCGAGAAGACGTGGTATGGTACCGTGCGGTGCCGCATCTTTGACGCCCAGGACTTCCCCCTGCCCGTCACCTGGTGGGCTGGGGTGGGCTGGCTCCCTGTGGGCTGGCTTGCTCGTGATGGTCAGCAGTTGGGAGCTGAGCTCATGCAACACCTGGATCATGCTCCCTGGCAAGGTGTATTGCTGCGGTCCTGCTGTACCGCAGCCCCACCGACTACCTCTTCCAGCCCGACAACTTCCTGGCGGCTCCCGAGAGCCTGGGCACGCCGCTGGACGTCCGGGAGCCTTTCTTCCTGGAGCACCCCCGCACACCGCCGGAAGTCAGGGTGCGTGCTGCCGCCTGCCGCCTGTGGGCACAGCAGCTGCTGATGCCTGCCACCTGTTGGCACAGCAGCGGCAGCAGCAGCAGCAAGGGAGGTGGCTGTGGTGGAGGGGGGGGGCTGCTAGCTGCTGCCCGTGCCTGCTGCTGCGACCCACCGACCTGCTGCCTCCCCACACCACCTGTGGGCTATGCCCTCCTGCCATCCACACCATCCTCTCCCCCTCCCCGCCTGCAGAGCTCCGTGCTGATCATCCTGCCCTCCGCCGCCCTGCACTGCCGGGACTGCGTCAAGGAGCAGAAGGGGCTCGACGGCAAGACGGTGGGCGGCGGCGGGACGCCTGGGCTGCCTCCCGCGGGCGCCGTGCCAACGCAAGGGCCGCTGCCGCTTTGCTCTGGGGCGCCCTGCCCTGCCGACGTCACCCACACGGCCCGCCCACCCCGCGCGCCTCGCCTCCTTCTGCAGGTGCTGCTGGTGCCGCCGGCGCTGCGGTCGGGGGAGCTGCTGCCGCTGCTGGAGCCGTACCGGCACTACCGCGTGTGGCGTCTCAACTTCTCGGGGGTGGGCTCCACCCAGCGGGCCTACTCTGGCTTCAGCGACCAGGCAGCTGCAGAGGCGTTTGACCGGCGCATGGCCGCTATCACCACCACCTGGTGCTGCCGGTGAGGCGCTGAGCTGGCGCTGAGCTGGCGCCGAGCTGGCACCGGCTTGTGCCGCAGCTCGAGCCGGCCCTGGTTGCGCCGCATCGCCGTGCCGCACTTTTCCAGCAGCAGGCCGGGTGCGGCGCGGCAGCCTGCTGCGCACCAGCACGGTGCCCCGCGTGGCCAGCTGGTGGTCCAGTGGCTTGCATTGCATGCATATGTCGAGGGTGGTTTGCCTGGGGCTGGCTGCAGGCGGGACGAGGAGCTGGGGCGGTACCACAAGGAGGGCCAGACAGAGGTGAAGCTGAGCATGACCCCAGACTTCAACTTCAGCAGCAGCTTCAGCGCAGCCGGTGCAGCAGCGGCGTCGCGAACCGCGCTGGAAGAGGCGGCAGATGCGGCGGCGGCGGGCGCGGCGGGCGCGGCGGGCGGCGGCGTCGAGGGCGGCGGAATAGGCGGCGGCGGAGAAGGCGGCACGGGCGTTGCGTAGCCAGGCGTGCAGGCAGCGTGTGTGACGTGCTGCTTGCCAAGAACTCTCCGTAATTGGTGATTGACCGTGGCCGGGGGGCCAGTGCAGCACCTGCTGAGGTGGCGGGCAAGGTGGTCGGCGAGACCGGCCCCTTGCTGCCGTTGTGTGTGGGAGCGCCACTCCAGACCTCTTACACTCATCATTCTGCACTCATCATTGCTTGTGCACTGCTGCCAGTTCCTGCCTGCCAAGCAGCAGCCAGGCCATCACTGGCGCAGCGCCAGGCGCGAGCGCTTGGGAGGTGGCTGCGCTGCCGCCTGGGCAGGCGGTGCCGGGGGCGGTGCCATCGCCCCTATGGCCTCCTCCTGCTGCTCCCTCACTGCACCATCTGCCCCTGCTGCCACCTGCTGCCCCGGTTGGCTGTTCTCCTTGCAGGCCTCCGCTGCCGCTGGCCCGGCTCCTGCTGCCGCGTCAGGCGCAGCAGCAGCTGCGGCCCCCCCTTGCTGCTCCTGCCGCTGCTGGCCTGCCGCGGTTTCTCCCCCTCCGCCCGCCGCTGCTGCATCGCCCTGCTGCATCGCATGCCGCTGTGTCCACTGCCGCGCCTTGGCATCAAACACCTGGCGCTGGTGCTTGAACTCGGCGGTCTGTGGGCAGGCGGGTGGGGAGGGGAGCAGGCACGGGAGGGCGGACAGTGCGGTCATCAACCTGCCAGACCACCCACGAGCGGCAGGCGCCCACCCACAGCACCGGTGCCAGCAGGGGCGGCATGATCTGTAGCGGCATGCCCCAAACACACGGACACTGCACGGCCAGGCCCAGGCCGGGCAGCCCCTTAAGCGAACCCTCACAAACCCAGGCCGCCTCCCCAAGTTGGCCCTCATCTCACAATGTCAGTGACCAGGCCGTCGTCTGGGTTGGGCTCGGCCAGCAGCAGGCCGACGGAGGCCAGCAGGGTGGGCACGTTGAGGCTGGGCTTCCAGGCGCCCTTGGGCGGCATGTTGAGGATGTCCAGGCAGATGCGGCCCTCTGCCGGTGTGGTGTTGGTGTTGTTGGTGTTGCGGGGTGGGGGTGGGGGGCAGGAGAGGGGAATTTTAATTGATGGGGCGATGATCAACAGGGCTGCTGCTGGGCGCAGCGGGGGCAGGTGCTCGCCATGTTGCCGGGGTGAAGAGGCATGCATGGCAGCGCCGAGTAGGCGGGCAGCCGGGTGGCGGCGCAAGCAAGCATGCACAAATGCACTGCCACGCCCTGCAGCCTTCAGGCCGCCGCACCTGGGTCTATGTTTGGGTGGTAAATGGGGGTCACAAACTTGACCTTGGGCGGCTCGAAGGGGTACCTGCACAGGTGTGCAAAGCCGGGCAGCAACCGACAGTGCCTCAGCACACACGATGACATTGGGTGGCAGCAAGGGAGGCATCTGAGCGGAGAGGGAGCGGCGGCGGCAGCTGCAGCACCTGGCGGGGATGTGCACCGCCAGCTTGAACAGGCCTCCCTCGTACACCGTGTCCTTGGGGCCCTGCAGGAGGACAGGAAGCAAGCGCCTGTGTGGAACCGAGGCCGTCGCTGCCGCCGCCGCCGCCACACCGCCGCCCACATTCTCTCGATCGTAGCTCGGCGCGCCGGGTTTCGGTTCCTGCCGTTGTCCGCCTCCCTGCACGAGTCGACTGGCTTGCGCAGACCTGCGGGCTGTCCCCACCTGGAGTTGGGCCTCGAGCTCCGTCACTTTGTCGCCCACCGGGGCAGCCCACACACCGGGAGGCGGCTCCATCTGCAGCATGCGGATCTCCCGGCTCATGCGCGACACCACAGCGGCCGACACCATCGCTCCTGCGCCCCCAGCGTTCGTTTGAACGTTTCCCAGCAACCGCCAAGGAGGAGAAGCCCTCAACCACCCAGTCAGCCTGTCCAGAAGAACATTGGCCCCGCTGCGACAGCCGCACCCTCTGGCGCGAAGTGCGCGCTGGGGCGGGGCGGCGTGCCGCTGACAGCTCATGTGAACACCTCGACCCATTCAAGTTGCTTTCACAGCATCGGGTTGAACGGCATGTTTCAAGTGCATTTGAAATCTTGGCATTGCAAGCCGCTTGGTACGCCAGCTGCATGCCCGCGGCACGGCTCGGCCAGCAAGCTAAGCAACGAGGCTCCCCTGGACGTCTATCACGAACTGCAGCAGCAGCACAGCAGCGCAGAATCAGATGTTGCTAGCTGAAGTGATCTCACGCCCTTCTGCCCGTTGAGGCATTTGTTCCAGCCCACTCACCCTGTACTTGACGTCGCCCTTCTCCAGGCGCTCCTGCAGCAGGCACCAGGCGTGCATGGCAGTCAGCAGGTGCGCCCCAGGTGCCCTTCCCTGCCCTGCTCCTACCCCGACAGCTTCCTGCCCCCTTAAAATCACGAAACGCAGCAAACCAGCCACTCAGCAGCACGCAGCCCACCATGGCTGTGTTGACATAGTCCACGCCGATCCTCTCGATGTCGGCCACGATGTTGTGCTGGGCGCAGAAGTCCAGCAACTCCTGCACACAGGCAGACGGCGGGGGAAGGGCTGGGCTCATGCACATTCAGGCGGCAGAAACGCTGATGCGCAGGCGGGCATGTGCCGACGGTCCCGGACTTTTGCAGCTGGCGCTCCTGCTGTCCAGCACGACGCGGGGCCCTTGCCTGAGTCTCCTTGACGGAGCCGATGCCGGAGCCGGCAACCGCGCCGCGCCCTGCACGCCACAGCGGCAGTGCCATGGTTGGCAGGCGGGCTGCTTGGGATACCGAACCGGTACCCTTCCTGCTCCGGCCACCAAGCAGGCTGCAGCGTCAGGCAGTGCCCCGTGCAGGCCGCCCGGCGGGGGGGGGGGGGGGTAAGCAGGGATGGACCCGGGCTACGCCTATTCCACCCCGCCCTGCCTCCCCACGGCCAGCCACTCACGGGAGGTCAGGGCGAAGGCAGGGACCTCCAGCGACTCTGGCGGCAGGCCCACCAGCACCAGCTTGCCGTCGGTGGCCAGCAGGCTGAGGTAGGGCAGGAGGTCGTGCTTGGCTGCGGGCCAGAAGAGAGCAGGGGCGGGTATGGTTGAATGCAAGCAGGGCGAACATGGAATCGGCAGTGCAGAAGGCACCGAGCGAGCCACGGCGCAAGCTGACGCCGCGCCGAAACTGCAGGCTGTGGCAGCGGCTGCCGGCCCAGACCCTCGAGGCTCCAGCTGGAGCCTCCCCACCGCACCAGAGCCTCCCCACCGCACAAGGGAAACCATCCACACCCACCCGACACCTCCCACACCCACCCGACACAGTGTCGATGATGCCGTCCAGCGAGCCAGCGGCTGCCGCCATCTGCTCGCTGTCGCGGCTGACCAGGAAGCGGTCTGCGCCCAGGCGGCCGCACGCCTCCTCCTCCTTGCTGGGGGAGGTGGAGATGACGGTGACCTGCAGGCAGCAGGGCAAGACGGGGCATGGCAGGGCAGGGCAGGGCTGGAGGGACGAGGAGGGAAGGCCAGGCTGGTGCCAGATCCCGCGCAGAGCAGCAGAAGCAGACCAGCGCAGCTGATGATAAGAGCGGTACGCCCGCTCCCCTTGGGCCGCCACCATTGGCGCAGCAGCTCCTGAAGCGGCGCACCTCGCAGCAGAAGGCCTTGGCCAGCTTCACCGCCATGTGGCCCAGCCCGCCCAGCCCAATCACGCCGACCCTCACGCCCGGCTTGTCCTGCGGCGGTGGTGGTGGCGTCCCGCCGCCTATGCATCAGCAGGCTGCTGCACCGGGCCAGAGGAATCCATGCCGACGGGCGGCACTGCACTGGCTGGCACAAGCAGCTGCGGGCCGCAGCAGCAGCGCCGATCGATCGACAGCCGAGCGCACTCACCAGCCCAAAGTGGCGCAGGGGCGAGTATGTGGTGATGCCGGCGCACAGCAGCGGCGCGGCAGCATCCATGGGCAGGCCGTCTGGCAGGTGCAGCACAAACCTGCAGGGGCGGGGGGCAAGGCGGCGCAGCCCCGAGCAGCCGATTGGCCACCAGCAGGCGGCAGCACGTGGGCTGGCGGGCCCGCAAGCCCAGCACAAGCGCACGCACTGGCTGCGCTGGCCTGCTGTCCTCCCCCTCATGCTGCGCTGGCATTCGTGCGTGCGGGGCAGCCCACTTTTCGTTCACGACGATGTGCGTGGAGTAGCCGCCCCGGGTGATGGCGCCGCCCTCGCGGGGGTCGGCTGCGGGCGGCCGGGCAGCCAGCGGGGCGTGAGGAAAAGCAGGCAGAGGAGTGCCGCTATAGGCTGCCGCAGCCGCGCTGCTGTGCAACGCACCGCTGGCCCTCTATGCGCAGCAGCGTTGAATCAGCTGAGGCTGTGCACCAGGTATCTGGGTGTTCCGCAGCTGCAGCCGCTCTTCCTACCCCAAAAGTTGCACACACCAAAAGTTGCACACACCTGAGTCAAAGGTCCACACAACTCCGGTACAGTACTGCTCCAGGTCGCGCCCGCAGTTGGTGCAGTCCCCGCAGGAGCCCACCATGCAGCCCACGGCGGCGCGGTCGCCCACGCGGAAGCCGCCCACGACGCTGCCCACCTCAGTCACGATCCCCACTATCTCGTGGCCTGCGCTCAGGGAAGGCAGGCAGGAAGGTAGGAGGAAGGGATGAGGTAGAGGAGGAAGGGAGGAGGAGGGAAGGGGAAGCGAGGGCGGCAACAGGCGAGAGAAGCAGCGTAAGTGGGAGGGTGGGAGATGGGTGCGGGACACGAGGGCGAGAGCAGGCATGCGGGGGCGAGGGCTGGGGGCAGGCACATGCGGCAGCGCAGGCGCCAGCGGCAGCGCACGCACCTGGCACGCATGGGAAGTTGGTTGGCACGCCCCACTCGCTGCGCACCTTGTGCAGGTCTGCAGGGGCAGGCAGGTTGGTGGGGGTGGCAGGAGGACAGGACACGAGGGCGTCCTCGCGTGGGGTGCGGCGATCGAGGGGCTGGTCGGACGGACGTGCACGGCCGTGGGGTCAATGTTGTAAGTGTGCAGGCGTGCCGTGCAGGTGCCTGCCTGCCAAGCACCCTCACCCGAGTGGCAGATGCCGCAGTAGGCGATCTGGATGCGGACGTCGCCGGGCTGCAGCTGGCGGCGCTCAAAGCGCAGGGGAGACAGCTTGCCTGCGGGCAGCAGGGGCAGCGTGATGGTGCGCCAGGAGGGTCGGCAGGCAAATGAGGCCAGATTGCCTTGAGATTGGGCCGCGTCCCCAGATGTGAAGCATGGGCAGCTCACAAAGGTGTACAGCCACCTATGCGGCGCACCCGACTCGTCCCGTGCGGCAAAGCCCAGGCAGGTGCCGCTGCCCTGGGCGTCGCAGTGGGTGCAGCCGCGGTGCAGGCTGAGCGCCAGCTTGTCAAAGGGGAGCTCGCCTGCGGGAGGGAGAAGGCAGGCAGGCAGCGGTAGCGACGGCAGCGCTCCCTCTTTCTTTACTAGGAGTAGGCCTCCAATTCTAGCAGATACAGGGAGGGTTCACCTGCTAGCTCCTGCTTTCCATCGCCGCCATACTCGCGCACCACGCTCAGCAGCGCGTCTGCGGGCACCGAGCCGTGCGTGGGGCCCGCCTGTGGAGACGGGTGGCGTGGCGGGCGTGTTGGCAGCTGTCAAAGGCATCCGGGGTGCCTCGTGGCGTGCCGCCACCGCCAACCTTGGGCTGATGCCAGCAGCAGTGGGAGCGCAAGGAGGCAGCACGTGGCGAGCGCTCTGGCCGGCGCCAGCCGGCCCCACCTGCACCAGCAGGCTGAACTCGCGGGGGTGCTTCAGGGCGTCGGCATCGCCCGGGGCGGGGCGCAGGTGCACGGCGGCAGGGGCCATTGTGGACCACTGGGAAAGGGAATGGTGAGATGGAGGGAGGGTAGGCCAACGTAAATGAAAGAATCCACATGGCCATTCTTGTCAGCATCATGCCACCAACCGCCAGGTCGGCTTCTGGCCGGCGGCGGCAACAACAAAGGTGGAAAGTTGCAAGATCTTCCCACTTCCAGCCTCCCCGTGTCTCCTTCACTCTCGATTAGAGGATGCCACTCAGGCTGCTGCCCCTGACTCTCCTACTCGTGCTGCTGCTGACAGCCCAGGCCGCTGGGCAGACCCCCCGACTGCTCTCCACCCAGGTCTACACCTCTGGGGACGTGGGGGCAGGATCAGCAGCGGTGCTGGCGCCTCGTGTGGTGCTTGGAGGGGCTCGCTTGGGGGAAGTGCAGTCAGCAAGCCCAGAGGAGTGCGCAGAGCGATGCAGGGAGGACGCAGAGTGCAGCTGGTTCAACGCCTGTGGCGCCCCGCAGGTGGGAGTGGGAGCGGCGGTGGTCCGAGGTTGCCGCCGCTGGCCGCCGCCATCCCCGCCCTTCAGGATGGCAGCAGCCCTCGTCACCTGCCCTGTGCATGCAGGGCTGCGACGTGGGAGAGGGGCCGCCACTGGGCTTCCAGCAGTGCAGCCTGCTGGCTGCCAACGACAGCGTGGTGCCAGTGGTCCTGAGCAAGGGCGACGACGTGGGGACCACGGCAGGCAAGAGCACGGCAGAGACTCTTCTTCACACACATCCCTGAATCTTCTGCCAGCCAAAGCCGATAACGATGGTTCCCTGCGGTCCCGCATGCAGGTTTCCCGCTGCGGCACAGGCCCCGCACCTTCCCAGGCTTTACCAGCGTGCCCAGCCAGGGCTTCAGCGGCAGTGACTACTCCTGCCCTGGCTCCGTGCTGCCCATGCAGTGCGCATTCAGGTAACAGAGCCAGCATGCACTGCACCTGCAACGATTCACAGCGGCACACTTCAGCCATCTTTCCATGCCTTGGCTGCTTTCCCTTGTAGGACCGCGGTAGAGGCAGCTGTGGTCTGCATGAGGTCACTCACCTGCCACACTGTGGTGATGTTTCTCGACGGCACCGACGGGCGATCGGGCGAGCTGGCCGTGCTCAAGTCTGCCAGCCTGGGATTTGTGAGCAGCTTTGTGGCTCCCTCCGTCTACTCCATCACCCGCCAGGACAACCGCCCCTTGGTGAGCGCAGACATCGGCACAGCACACCTCAATCACAGCAACGAGTAGTACGCATCCATTCATTCATTCAGCACACAGACCGGCCGCCTCTTGCTCGAGGGCGGCCCACTTTGGCCTGGGCAGCCCGGGCCGCCCTCCCCCCCGGGCGCATGTTCGGTGTTGGAGGGGTGTGCCCAGCGATAGGGGGCCCCTGAAGGCATGCGCCGAGGCCGGGAAGCGTGGTTCGGCGCTGCTGCACGCTTGGCGATTTGAACAGAACCACGTGCCGCCGAGCTGCGGCCGCAGTTTCCGGCCCACGGTCTACGGTCGCAGCCACGGGACTCGGCGGCACGGCGTTTGGGCCCAAGCTTGCTGCCGCCGCCGCCGTGCCCGGGGGGCAGCGCGGCGGCGGCGGGGGCACGCTGCGACGCCCCCGTGCTGCCGAGTTGCGGCCGTAGTTTCCTGCCAGAAGCCCACGGCCACAGCCACGGGACTCGGCGGCACGGCGTC